AAGTGAAAGTTACATGAACTGATGATATGATTGGTTTGACGGTCTAAGGATAAAGTTGAATCTAGGATGACACCGAGGTAGCTAAAGTGATCAGTGAACCTGATGCTGTGACCGAAGATGTGTATGTGTGTTGGGAGTGCTGATGAGTTGAGACATTGCTTGGTACCTAACATGATGGCCACTGACTTTTTCGGATTAAGGGCTAGGTTGTGTGCAGTGAACCACTGTTGCAAGGCGGTGGTACATTCCGAGAGCCTCTCAAATCCAGATGCATTGCTAGAGTCGATGGCGGTGAATAGAATAGTGTCATCCGCGTACGAGTGGTGCTTAATCCCGAAGCTTGCGATGAGCCGGCCGATCGGGGAAGTGTAGGCTGTGAAGAGCAGGGGACCTAGTACAGAGCCCTGGGGAACCCCGCATAATGCTTTTGTTTCAGGCAATGTGGACGTGCCCACCCTGACTGAAGATCGCTCGTCAGAAAGGTACGAAACTATCCACTTGAATGCTGAGCCACATATACCGAAGTCGGATTTCAGGAGGGAAGTAAGGAGCGAGTCGTCGATTTGTGTCGAAGGCTGACGAAATGTCCAGACTTACAAGTGCAACAGTGGAGCCAGAATCAATGATCATTAAAATGTCATCGAGCACTCTAGTGAGTGCTGTTTCGTTGGAGTAGTTTTGACGGTAAGCTGACTGGAAGCAGCAGTAGTTTGCGGAGGAGGTGATGTGTGGCTTTAGCTGGGCGAGGGCTGGTTGTTCAAGGAGTTTAGAGAGGTTCGAGAGATTAGTGATGGGATGATAACTAGGTGGGTCATCTGGGTCGAGACTTGGTTTCTTTTACAAGGGAGGAACCAGTCCAGATTTGAGGTTGGACGTAAAACACCCCATAGAGAATGAGGCATTTGCCATGTTCCTGATCATGATGGCGAGTTCCAAGGCACATTGCTTGAACAAGGAACCTGGGAGCACGTCGAGTGGAGATGACTTCAATTGAAGTGATTCAATTAAAGAGAAAACGTCTTTTGTAGACACCGGCTTTAGTGTAGTTAGAAAGGTGTCTGGGTGAGTGCTTACAATTTCAGGTAACTTGAGCGGGGTACAATGGTGCGATGTGTGAGTAGATGTGCATGAGTTTGCGACGGTGATTAGCTTGTTGGTGAAGTAAGTATTAAAAGAGGTGGCAAGTTTCAGTGAGACCAGGGGATCGCTAAGGTGAGGGACCATGGTGCTACCAGGATGTAGAAGATCTTTGAGGGTTTGCCATAGAATGTGTGGTTTTATGGTTGCTGTTTTGATGCGTTCTTCAATGTAGGAGGAGCGTGAGACAAGGATAAGTTTGTTAGTTTTCCTGCAGGCAACTCTGTAGGCAAGTCGATCAGCACGTAGACCACTACGGGATGCGATACTTTCAAGGCGCCTACTGGTTCGCTTAGCAATGATGGCGTCTCTAGTGTCGTGGGAAGACTGCCTAGCGGTTCGTATTGTAATGGAGCCAGTTTGTCCAGCGCCGCCCTCATGTCAGCTTCTAGTTGGAGAGCGCAGACGGTTGGATCCGATGATGGAGATTGAAGTCGAATTTGCAAGGAGGTGGCGTAAAGCAGAAAACGCGATACCCTTGAAATTACGCGAGTTGCGGGTGAATTTGATGGTGATTAGCTTGGGAATTTGGAGGGAAAAAAGTATGAGGCAGTGGTCGGAGTAACCAGTTAGGAAAACTCCCAGTGCAGTGATGCGTCGATGCTGGTCAGGTTCCACAACCAGGTCGAGCTTGCTCTCAACATTTGTTGAGGAAGCTCTGGTGGGGCCTGAGTTTGTGATGACCAGGTTATGGCAGGCCAAAGTTGACTCAAGGTGACTATCGATGGAGGGTTGGGGTATTGCCGGGCCAATTAAAGTCACCTGTAAGCACGAGCCTGTGAGATGGGTTAGGAATCAGATAAAGGAATTCCGAAAGCTCGTTTAAGAAGGTATTGATGCTGCCATCTGGAGGGTGATAGATGGAAATGATGGAAAAGCACTCGTTAGTAGTGAGGGATACGGACTGGACCTCGAAGGTGACGGGAGCCATCGGTAGATAGAGCTCTTTAATTTTCAAGTGTGCATTGTAAACGACCGCTAAGCCACCAACCCCGCTGGTTAGTTGCGCGAGGTTTATGAAGAACCTTGTATCCCGGGGGCGTAACTTCCAGAGAGATGGCTGGCGGGGGGAGTCTTGCCTGCACCAGGTCTCGGTGATGAGCAAAAGGTCGATGTGGTCCGAGATGGTATCATGAATCGGGGCTGATTTGATGGTAATGGAGCGTGAGTTGAGTAGGCCGAGGCGGATGTGTGAAGGTGGATGTGAATATCTGTAGAGGTGAGGCATCGAGGGAATAGAGGAGATGGCTGGTTGAAGGTTGACCTGTGAACGGCGGCCCCTACCACCTCTGCAACCACGGTGCCGATGCAGTCTCTGACGTTGACCTCAAAGAAGCCCGAGGCCGGAGAGCGTCCTCAGGAGCGCGGGTTCCAGGTGCAGGTGATGAAGAGATGGTGCATGTCAAAGCCCTATTATATCAGCCCATGCTGTACCGATGGTGCTGATGAAGGGGCCCGGATTCGGGTGGAATCCAATCAGCGGCTCTGCTGCCCGGAGCAGCAAGTCAAGGTAGCGGTGTCCAAGCTCCACGCCATCAGCAAGCACTTACCCGTCTGTAGCGGATGCATACACGCCTGTGTAAACACTCGTTGAGCACGTACACGGGCGTACAATGATGCAGCAGGGTGGACGAACCTCGCAGAGCTCCCGTTCACTGGTGGTGCTGGGCAGCAGGCAAGCCAACTCTCTCGTGTTGGGGAGATGACAGTCTGCTTCACGTTCCCACTTGCTGATTGTGTTGAACAGTGGATGGAGCACGTCGAGCTCCCACTTGCTGGCGATGCTGGGGCACGCCAAGCTTACACTCACTGATGGTGCCAGAAGAGGTGCCTTGTGAGGACGTTGCTGGCAGGAACCGTACCCAGGGCGGCTGTTAAGCCGCGCTGCATGAACAATGCAGCTAGTGTCCTCCAGCCTCGTGAGTCGGAGCAGCAGGCCTCGTTTACCCGCACTGCCCCTCAGCTGTGCGATGCGACAGTTAAGCCGGGTTGTGTGACACTGCAGCAGCCAGCATTGTTCAGCTGTTGTTGCGCCGCGGGGCATGTGCAGTGAACACGGAGGCATGCGGAGTTGGGTGCAGGGATCTGCCACCACCCAAAACTCGGGCGACGCCAACGTAATAATAAAAATAATAAAACTAAATAAATTATAAGAAAAATGTAGTGGAAGATGAAAATAAGAAGAGTGGTGGTGAGTGAAGAAGGATGTGGGTAAGGTACGAGGTGTGGTTACAGTTGATAAACTCAGTCTTCAGTCTACATTTCTGTGATGAGGTTTCTTTTAGGTAGACTCTGATACTCTATCTTGGTCTCGTGAGTTGTCACCTGGTTAGATGCACTGGAATAAAATTTTATAAAATATATAAATCTTGACTTAAAGCTTTCGTGACGACAGGAATTCATACTCTTTGGGTCTTTCGGTAAATAATAAAAAATCACGACGTTTCGATAGCAACACAAGCAATTGTCCTCAGGTGAAAAAATATCACCTGAGGTCGATTGCTTGTGTTGCGATCGTGATTTTTTATTATCTTTCTGTCGACGTAACTTTACCGAAAGACCCAAAGAGAATAAAATATATGAATCGATATTTTTTTTCCCGTTAATTTAATCACGACTACAAATTAACCTCATGGCAGGACCCCGGGGTCCCGAATAAACGGAAGTCGAAATAGTAATTAATTGATTATTTTTGGGCGACTCCGTCCCACCGCGCACATAAACGCCGCGACCCACCTGGCGCGGATCATTCTGTTGTCATGTCGTCCAAGCACAGCGAGGACGAATGCGCAGAAGAAACAAAACTTTGAAACTTTGATTAGTGCATCGTGTGGAGCTCGTCGAGAGAAATAGATTGCCGTATTGTTCGCGTTCAACAGCCATATAATGACGTCGGGGGCTTATGGGTCCCCGGGGTCCCTCCATAAGGTTCAAATTGTGATCATCGAATAATAGAATCATGGGGGGCAGGGGGGTGTTCTGTTTGGCGAAGAGTGTACTTCACTCTCATTGGCTGAGCCAATGATGGTGGGTCCACTTCCCCGAGCAGCGCTGCAGCATGTTCTCACTTAAAAGCACTTTTTATAAAAATGTTCACCAGGACAAAGAGCGATTTATTGAATCGGCATTCTACGGGGTCGTGGCTAAGCGATGTCTGCCTGTATTGGTCGTGAAAACCTACCTAATAAAATTTTCATATAATATACATAAATGGCAAATACAGGAGACTCTCCATTATCCGCGTGCGTTTTATCTGATTTTCAGATTCACCGCACACCTAAGATTTTGACATGAATTAATAACTCGTGGATTTTCCCTGAAGCCCAAATGAATCATCTGAAAACAGTTATACATTGTTATTCTTGTAAATGTTTATTACAAGTCACGTGCTTAAATCGAACAAATGTGTGCTTCGGTTAATTAGAAAACCACGTGACTGCCTTTACAGTACAGTATTTGAAATATCTTTACAACAGTGGGTGGAGTTTGATTGATGTTGATTGGCATGGCTCTGCTGTCCACTTCCTGGGCTGAGTCTCTTGCACGGGAGCAGGAAAGTGTTATCATTGAGCACAGACATCGATCGGTAATTGATACCTATATCAGTGGTTTTTGGCATATAGATCTGCGCAAAATAGATGTTTTTGGATTATCAGCGATTATTATTTATCCACGGCCATCCTCCCCGTCATTAGCACAGATAATGGAGAGTGTATTGTAATGTCTTATTCCATACTCGATTTACACTTGAAATGTGAGTATATATTTCAGTGATAAAAAAGCCGCACACACAGTTATTGACAGCGGACCATCCGTAAATATTTTATGATGGCCTAGAACAATTCTCATTTTTCTGCCTCCAGCTTCGGGCACAGAACCAGGTGCTGAAGAAGGCCGTGGTGGATGAGCAGGAGGCATCCGGGGTCCTCAAGGTGAGGGAGCGAGCGACCTTCCACACACCGAAGCGCAACCCCGGTGGCAGGAAGTTCCTTCAATACCTCTTTTTCCCACTGCACAACTGAGCCATGCCAGAGCTGTGCCCTGGAGCCTGCACAGCTTCTGAGGCGCCAGATTGCTTTCCACTGCACAGAAAACAATCTTCACCGACCTGCTTTCACTCCTCCCTTAAGACCAGTCCATTCTCCTTTGCCTGTCCTACTGCTACTCCCTGCCCTGGCCCGCCAGCTATGATCAAGCCTACCCCTACACTACCCTTATCTCACTGCCCCTATCACTACCCCAACCCCTATCACTACCCCAACCCCTATTACTACCTCTTCCCCAACCCTTGCCACTACCCCAATCCCTCCTTAACTACTCCCACCTGTCCTCCTAACCGTGACCATAACTACACCACCACTTTTAATAACCCCACTCTTTTTTTAATCACTATCATCTGATGTACAATTTAATCATTATTGTAAAGACAGAGGTGCTGTATAAATCTATTTAAGATGAGATTTCTCACCCGGTTAAATATATAATGAAGGACTTCGCCACGCTTTGCTTGGTCTCCGTCACTCTTGATTTAGGTCAACACCCGCACCCCGCTGGTCCCGACACCGGACCAGCTGTTCCTCGCGATGCGCCCCGCACACGCTCTTCTGTCAGTCTTTCCAGCTCCCCCCGCTCCTTACACCGCTGGCCGATGGTGTGCTGAGCCCGTGCAGCCACGTGGCTGATGGCGCGGAATCCCTCTGGCCACCCAACGTGGTCCCGCTTCTTCACTCCAACAACTGACCCGGAGCCCTTCTGGGCTCCCACCTATATCCCCTTCACCACGTGACCCTGTCTCCTCCCTCACACCACGTGCCTTCGAACCTTCCAGATCTCGCCCCCCCATCGCGCCCTGCTGGCTCTGCCCCTAGGTTCCGCCCCCACTCACCTCCCTTCCGTTTGGACCCGAGGTGAGCGAGGACCTTCACATACGCCCCCATACTGGCTCCGCCCCCCAATACCCCGGCCTATGTGATTGGCTCAAAGGCCAGCAGCGAACCCCACTTGCGCTCACATTACAAATAGAACAAACTTGACGCGTGTGCGGGTACAGGAGCAGCTGAAGGGTCGGGAGCAGAGCGTGCGGCGTCTGGAGCAGGAGATGGACAGTCTGACATTCAGGAACCAGCAGCTCGCCAAGCGTGTGGAACTCCTGCAGGGGGAGCTGGAGTCGATGGAGACACGAGGGAAAAAGAGCAAGGTTTCAGCTTCATCACCATCTTCACATTGCCATCACCATACTCACATCATCATCACCATCTCGATTTAAAGCTTTCGTGACTGCAGGGATTCATCTTCTTGGTTCTTTCGGTAAAGTCACGTAGAAGGGAAGTAATAAAATAATAAAAATAAAACATAATATAATAATTCTCACGACGATTCGGCCACAACTCAAGCAGCCGTCCTCAGGTGAAACCAGGTCTGTCGAGGTGACAGCGTCTGAATGAAACAGCACACGTGCTTGGAGCATATATATAAGCTGGGTTGGGAGGGGGGGGGGCGTCTTGACAAAATAATTTGCATATCAAGAGGAATTTAGCATATTTATGGGAAATGCAGATAAGTGATTAGTACTACTTATGTCCGTGCATTATGCAGGATTAGCAGCATCCAAGGGAGGGGATATGGGATAGCATTAATAAAGGGAAGAAGTGTTAATAGTATGTAGCTGCAGTAACTAAAACCACCACGTAAACAACTAAAGTATAAACTACATAGTATCATCATTATACTAAATATACTCTACAATAAGCTGAGTTACTAACAGTAAGTAATACATTACAATTCTACGCCGTAAAAAAATATAATATGCTTCCATCTAAACTTTACTTTCTTACATCACACGAGTCTACACCGTACTATATACTGCCATAGACAAACCCAACATTAAATTATATACTGTATTGCTATAAACCACCTTATCCATTGTAAAATTACACTATGTATTATTCTACCCACCCTAATGTATATCACACTGCTGTATATTCACTATACAATTACGATATTATTATACATTGTACCGTTGACCGTCGTGTGAAAGATTCTAAGAGGAAGAAACAAGATATGTCAATGCAGCAGAGCAAAGAATCAATTCCCTGCGGAGAATACAATGCAAGTGAGTGGAACGCGGCCTGAAAGTCACCGTGAATGTGAACACAATCAGTTAAGATCCGAAATGGTTTATTACGTCCTTCCAATGATTGCTAAGCCAGAATCCATCTTCTCGGTTGAAATTGTCTCTGTTTGTCTCTGTTTGTATATGTGGATCGCCTCATGAACGAATCTCTCATGGTAGCCAGATGGCTTGCAGAGAACCTCTGTCTTGGAGAAGTCAATATCATGTGAGCCCACTGAATTGTAACAGTGATCTGCCACGGCTGAGGTGTTTGTCCTACCGTGTTTCAAGTCTGCTTTATGTTCACGGATACGGTCCGAGACGTGTTGTTTGGTTTCTCCAATGTAACTGCTACCACAGAGGCAACTTAGTTTGTAGACACCAGGGTACTGTATGTCTGGAACCACATGGTTCAATGAGCCACTCTGTCTACAGGAAAGCCACCCATACGGATGCTTACCTAAAACCGGATTCCCACCACCATCCATCCCAGAAGAATTCCCTCATCAAGACATACAGTACCCTGGCGTCTACAAACTAAGTTTCCTCTGTGGTAGCAGTTACATTGGAGAAACCAAACGACATGTCTTGGACCGCATCCGTGAACATAAAGCAGACTTGAAACACGGTAGGACAAACACCTCAGCCGTGGCAGATCACTGTTACAATTCAGTGGGCTCACATGATATTGACTTCTCCAAGACAGAGGTTCTCTGCAAGCCATCTGGCTACCATGAGAGATTCGTTCATGAGGCGATCCACATATACAAACAGAGACAATTTCAACCGAGAAGATGGATTCTGGCTTAGCAATCATTGGAAGGACGTAATAAACCATTTCGGATCTTAACTGATTGTGTTCACGTTCACGGTGACTTTCAGACCGCGTTCCACTCACTTGCATTGTATTCTCCGCAGGGAATGGATTCTTTGCTCTGCTGCATTGACATATCTTGTTTCTTCCTCTTAGAATCTTTCACACGACGGTCAACGGTACAATGTATAATAATATCGTAATTGTATAGTGAATATACAGCAGTGTGATATACATTAGGGTGGGTAGAATAATACATAGTGTAATATTACAATGGATAAGGTGGTTTATAGCAATACAGTATATAATTTAATGTTGGGTTTGTCTATGGCAGTATATAGTACGGTGTAGACTTGTGTGATGTAAGAGAATAAAGTTTAGATGGAAGCATATTATATTTTTTACGACGTAGAATTGTAATGTATTACTTACTGTTAGTAACTCAGCTTATTGTAGAGTATATTTAGTATAATGATGATACTATGTAGTTTATACTTTAGTTGTTTACGTGGTGGTTTTAGTTACTGCAGCTACATACTATTAACACTTCTTCCCTTTATTAATGCTACCCCTATCCCCTCCCTGTGATGCTGCTAATCCTGCATAATGCACGGGCAAAGTAGCACTAATTCACATACCTGCATTTCCCATATCCCCTCCCTTGGATACTGCTAATCCTGCATAATGCACGGACATAAGTAGTACTAATCACATACCTGCATTTCCCATAAATATGCTAAATTCCTCTTGATATGCAAATTATTTTGTCAAGACGCCCTTTCCCCCCTCCCTTCCCAACCCAGCTTATATATATGCTCCAAGCACGTGTGCTGTTTCATTCAGACGCTGTCGCCTCGACAGACCTGGTTTCACCTGAGGACGGCTGCTTGCGTTGTGGCCGAAACGTCGTGAGAATTATTTTATTATGTTTTATTTTTATTATTTTATTACTTCCCTTCTACGTGACTTTACCGAAAGAACCAAGAAGATCATCACCATCTTCACATTGTCAGTCATCATCATCTTCACATTGTCAGTCATCATCATCTTCACATTGTCATCATCATCTTCACATTGTCATCATCATCTTCACATTGTCATCATCACCTTCATATTGCCATCACCATTCTCATATTATCATCATCATCATCATCATCCCTATCTTAACATTGTCGTGATCTTCAGATCTGGTGGGATGATGGGTAGAGTCACCCCTCAACTGGAATTTTAACCTCGCAGCTTTCTGATCATGAATAGCACTATTTCGTGCAAAGGATGCCATTCAAAGTGCTGTACAGATTTTAAAAAAACATTGTTAATAGACTGATGATGCTCACTGTATCTTCGTGGTTAGCGATTGGTCACTTGGACGAGTAAAATTAGCCATTTGTGCATGGTCGTTGGACAACACCATTTAGTTCTGCGAAGGAAGCATAGTTATCAGATTAATTAGAAGCACGTGTATAATGACATAAAATTAACGCAAGACGCCAGCCACTTTACAGATATATAAGAAGCGGCGTGCTCAGCTGTTGGGTCCACAAAGGGAGGGCAGCAGACAGCCGAGTCCTCACCTGCCACCGGTGGCTTGGGAAGTAACCGAGGCGCTTTGCAGAGAATTAAGAATGGTACAATAGCGTGTGTGTGAATGTAATGGTGGAGGTGAGGTGAATGAAATAGATGAGGAAGAAATGGGGGCGAATCTGTGATGCGTGAATTCGGTGAAAGCGAAATCGATGACGGTAGGATGATGATACGTGGATTGAATTAATGTTTACGGATGAATTACCTCGCCTTCTCCATTCTCGTCACGCTTATCTGGGGTAGCTGGGATTGAAGCACAAACAACACGGTTATATTCAGTTACTGTTGTCAGCACTATGCAGTGGTGGGGGGGGGGTGGTAGGACAAAATGGGGGCAAATTTCCTCCGGGGCCTGACACAGGGGAAGGGCCCATTGCGGGCACTGCTAACAAGCGGAGGTGGGGAGGGCTCCATGCAGCATTCGGCTCAGGGCCTACGGGAACCTTTGGGCAACCCCTGATTGCAATGCCACGTGGTGTTGTAATAATAAGAAGGGTGTCTGTGCACTGTGTTTGGGCAACATGATTTTTAAGTGATTGGTGTGCTTGTTTACCTGAAGAGATAAAGGCGTGAGATGGTTAAGTGATGGGGGGTGGGGGGCTGCTGCTGGGATCGGTGTGTAAGGAGAGCCGGGATGTTTTGTCACTACTGCTCATTGATGATTTGTTGTCTCAGCCGCGTGCGGGCGAGCTGGTGGTCTCCGTCCCTGTGTTCCCGGCGCGGGAGAGCGTGTTCAACGAGGACCTACAGAAGAAGATTGGGGAGAATGAAGAGCTGCACAAACAGGTGGCCGTGCCCTCCCCCACGTCGGTCACTATCCACATTCCAGCCATCTGTGAATGGTAGAGAGAACAGCTGTACTCGCAGATACAGTCAAGGAAGGTTTGTTGTTTGGCGCTGTGAAACCTAGGCCATGACAGGCACGATCAGCTGACACTCGTCCTAACTTCCAATCTGGACGCCCACCTGTAACTGAATCAGGTTCTCATTGCAGAGTTGGTGTTCTCAGCCCAATCCCCAATAAATGCACAAAAAATTATAAATTATTAACCATCAGCAGGAGCTTTGTGGAATGATTTTACGTGGCCTTTAACTGTGCACAGTGTTCAGTTGTACTGCTGGCTGTTGTAGTTCCACAATGAACAGGGTTTTGAGAGAGAGAGGAGAGCAGGGATACAGAGAAAATTAACGCGTGCGTGAAACCGGCTGGGCCAAGTGACCAGAATGTGGGGAAGGAGCCAGTGAAACATAAGAGAAGCTCAAAGCCGTACTCTCACATGTCCTCAATAAAGCGCCATCCCGCGTGTGTCTGCTGCATTGTCATGCGATTAAGCAGCTGTATGAGGTGGCGGACAAGCACGAACGCGAGCAGGCCGCCCTGCGTGAGCGACTCGCCTGGCTGGAGGAGCAGGTGTCGAGCCAGGACAACGTAGCCCAGGCGCTGCGCTCGGCACATGCCCAGACCACGGAGCGGCTGCAGCACGACAGAGCACAGCAAGAGGTCCCAATGACTGCCACCTTGACCGCCACACGGATCCCCTAGAGCAGTGGTTCTTAACCTGGGGTGCACGCACCCCCTGGGGGGTTGCGAGATGCCCTTTTTTGGGGGTGCGAGACATGGCCAGATTTATTTAGAAGGTAAATCAGCGAAACACAAATTAAGCATGGGAATGAAGAGTCCATTATCTTCATTAATATATATATTTTTGGGTTAGATCGCATAAATATATAAATGTGTCATTAAACCCGACACAGCCAATTAGCAAGGTTTGTCATGCATGCGCATTATGCAAGCCCATTGTTCTTGTACCACCTATCGATTGTGTGTACTAAAATAGCCATACCAGTTATTGTTCAACGGTAATCCCTATTGAAGTATGGTCACCTGTATAGGCATGCATTTAAACAATGTATTTTTTGATAATTTGCTTCGAAACAGCGCTAAGTCTAGCTATCCGAACAATTAAAATTATTTTTATTTCTCTCAATTTTCATAGATTCTCTAATTAGTATTGTCCAGTAGTAACTAATTTGGCACAAAACTTCAACATTATCAAAATCAATTTAGTGTCCTTGTTGGCCCGCGTGTTCTGCCACTGCCGACAATTGTATTTGGGGGTATTTAATATTTATTTGATGTTCTTTTATTCTTTGGTTTTTTCGGTAAAGTCTCGTATAAAAATAAAATAATAAATTAAATAATAGCATACGACGTTTCGATTGCAACACAAGCAATCATCATCAGGTATAATGAAATAGCAACATAGAATATAACCAGAAAACTATAGACAGACATATAAGCAGACAGATATCACCAAGATACATAGAGAGAGCAACCCAGGCACAGAGAGAGGTGATCGATACTTTGCTAGGTTATTTAATTTAGTGTGTTATGTCTCCCTCTAAGCCTGCTTACCTTACTCCCCTCCCTTCGTACTCATTGACATGTAAATGTTTCCCCTACCCCCTCCCTCTCTCTGCCTCCGCCCCCCTCTGTCTATTTAAGGCCACCCCACAGAGACGATCACCTCTCTCTGTACCTGGGTTGCTCTCTCTATGTATCTTGGTGATATCTGTCTGCTTATATGTCTGTCTATAGTTTTCTGGTTATATTCTATGTTGCTATTTCATTATACCTGATGATGATTGCTTGTGTTGCAATCGAAACGTCGTATGCTATTATTTAATTTATTATTTTATTTTTATACGTGACTTTACCGAAACAACCAAAGAATAATTCCTGCAGTCACGAAAGCTCCAAAATTAAGATGTTCTTTTAGTTTACTGCTTATTATTTGTCCTGTTTGCCCAACATAGCATTTGCCAACAGTGCACTTAATCCAGAACACACCTTCTGTTGATAGCTTCGGTAATACATCTTTTGTACCAGATATTGATTTCTTTATTTTATGTATCGTGCCAAATCTGACTCAGACGTTTTGTTTTTACAAACATCTGGCTAATTTATCTGTTAGTCCCGCAATGTATGGTATTTTAAGTTTTAATTACTTGGTACGTTTCAACGCTCGTATTATTTGTTTTGGTTTCGGAATTCAGTGCCCTGTTGGTTTATGCATCATTGTAACTATTCAGTTGTAGCACTGCTTTAACAGCTCTTCAACACACCAGTGTGCTGTATTAGTAATGAATTGGCATCTTCTGTTTATGTGACAAACCTTACTAATTGGCTGTGACGGGTGGTGGTGGGTTTAATGACACATTTACGTGGTCTAACCCCGAAAAAACTGTATGGATGATATTGGTCGCGAAAGTTTACTTGTTAAAATCATTATCTTCCTTTAAAGCTTTCGTGACTGCAGGATTCATATTCTTGGTTCTTTCGGTAAAGTCACGTAGAAGGGAAATAATACAATAATATAAATATAAAACAATAAAAATGATCACGACGTTTCGACTGCAACACAAGCAATCATCAGGTGTGAAATCCACAGCAAGAACATCTTCTTGCGAGAATTTTTATTGTTTTATATTATTTTATTATTTCCCTTCTACGTGACTTTACCGAAAGAACCAAGAATATACATTATCTTCCCGTTGGAAATGTGGATAATTTAAAGAATGGACATGGAATTTGTTAAGAGCTTGCCAACATTGTTTCTTGGGTAAAGAGTAACTGAGTGGCTAATTCCGTGCATAATTACAGATGCAGTTGAGGGTCTGAATTAAAACGTTATTTAAGAATGTGTATTGCACTCACTTCCCACCGTACGTAGCCAATTATGCTTATAGTGTGAATGTGTCACAGACAGTTTCTCAGTGTTTTGTAAGTTACCTCTACTTCACGGTACCTGTGTACGAGCACAAACAGTTGAAGGAAGCCTTCCTCGTATAAATAAATGAAGTGACTTATGAATTAGTTCATGATATCCATAATTTATAATGTTGGCTATTCATCGATTGCAGTACCCACATTATTACAGATAATACTTTGTGCTTGAATACTGCTTGTTGACAATTTTTTTAAATAATTTTGTGCGTTTGTTATTTTGAATTATTCTTATAGGCCGTTCTTTGTTGCGCGCGGTATCACAGGTGAAAGTGCAGGCTCTGGAGAGGGAAGCCAAGGAATGTCGACTGCGTGCAGAGGAATGGTGAGCTGCAAACACACGTTAGCACATAAGTGTGTTCCCCTTTGCGTGCGTTCTCCTCTGTACGTGCCCCTATGCGTGCGTGTATGTGCCCTTCTGTGTGTGTGTCTCTGTCTATGTGTGTGCCCCTCCGAGCGTGCCTCTGTGTGACTGAGTGGGTCGGTCATTTAGCCACTTTGGGGAGTCATGAATCGCCACATGTAGCCACGTGCTTGAGCAGCTTTGCTTCAGCCATATAAATGGGACCAAACCTTATTGTGGATCTGCATGCACATTGTCTATTTATGCACATATTTATGTATGGATACCTGTTAAGGGCATATGTTTATGTACCCTCATGTGTGTATAGCTGTGTGTATGTAACTTTGTATGAATTCGAATATGTGTGTACCTGTGTGAGTGAGCGAAACAACTCCCTACCTTGTGGTGCCGGACAGGCAACGCTGTCGTGAGCAGTGCCGTGGGGGGAGGGCCAATTCTGATTGGCCTTTCCCCTCATGGCATTTGTAACCACCACAGCGGCTAAATGGGGGCTCTGGATGGGTGCGAGGGGCTGGTAACCCCTCCACCTTCAATTAATTACCACTAAACCACATCGAAAATATCTAATAAATAAGCTTGTGCCTGAGGCCCCGGGGGGACAGGCGTCTATGACGTCTCCTGGCCAAACCCCATTTGGCGGAGCAAGGAGACTGAATCTTTACCCTCGGGGCTCCTCCAGAAAGAACAAAAAACCACTACGTGTGGCCACGTGGAATGTTCGAACGTGCACTGCGATGCAGAGGTTGCGACTCCTCTGTCGGGAGCTGGACCGGTACCACCTGGATCTCTTTGGTATTCTGGAGATCCCGTGGATCGGCTCAGACTCCTGCCACCATGAGGGGTGGATAGTCCTCTACTCGGGGCAGAAGACTGCCAAACAACAGAGTGTGGCTCTTCTTCTGAATAAAAGAATGAAGGGGGCATGGGAGCGTGGCGGTGAGGTGTGGGAAGCTGTAAGCCCCAGGCTACTTTTGGCTCGCCTTCCCATCAATCAGAGGTGAGGAGTGGTGGTCGTTATTACTTATGCCCCCACTGAAGACGAACATCCGTGGAGGGATGCAGGCAAGGCCGATGAGTCAGATGCCTTCTATGACCTCCTGTCACAGGTGCTTGCTAAAGTGGCCCCTCGGGATAGAGTCATCTTGTAGGGTGACTTCAATGCCCGAGTTGGTCATGATGCTGGCACCTGGTCTGGAGTAATTGGAAGGCATGGGCCAGATCAGCTCAATAACAATGGCAGGAGGCTGCTAGATTTTTGTGCAGCCCATGAGCTTGTAATTACCAACACGCTGTTCCGGCATCAGCGCATCCACACCACATCATGGATGCATGCCGGGTCCAAGCAAGAACATCTGCTGGACTACATAGTGACGGCGAATGCGGGCCCATGTCCTTGACACCAGGACCTACCGTGGCGCTGATCTGCCCACTGACCATCGACTTGTCATCTGTAAGATGCGCCTGCCATTCTTCCACTCCGGTGGTGGTTGTACATCCAGGACCCCATTCAAACCCTTAGTGGCATGGTCTCAGCTAGCTGATGAAAGTTGCAAGCAAGAATTCATCATCACTTGCAGCTGGGGTTGGCACCGTCCCCCACTCCTCCTGATGTCGAGGGGAAATGGACGAGGTTTAGGACCGTGGCTCATGCAGCTGCAATGGCTGCTTTGGGTACACGGTCCAGACCTCCCCAGAGACCCTTGCTGACAGAGGAGGTGTTCAGGCTAGCTGAGAAAAAGCGACAGGCCCACTCTCATCGGCTACAGCATCCCACGTTGGAGAATGAGGAGGCTTACCGCAGCCTTCGCTCAGAGGTTCATAAAGCCGTACAGCGCTGCAAGGATGGGTGGTGGTTGTAGGTTGCTGAGATGGAAACTGCCTCAGTAGTGCACAATCACATATCACTCTTTAATTCCATAAAGTAACTTGTAGCACCACACCAGTTACCTTAGGGATATAATTGTGATCATATCTCTGACACCAAGGAACAGGCTGACAGGTTACTGAACATTTTTATGAGGTATTGGGGGAAGGGAAACCCCTCGGCTCAAATGACATCATGGGGCAAGGTGCCTCAAATATTATTGGAAGTAGCTGCTCCCTGTGTGTGAGTTATGGGCCATCTGATGCAGGAGTTCGAAGAGTGATCCAGAGCCTAGGACCAGCTAAAGTGCTAGGCAGGGATGATCTCTCAAGAAAACCGCAAAACAAGGGTGCCATTTTTGTGCTGACTGCCCTATATGACATCAGTACAACTTGTTTGATCCACAGGATGGGTTTTGCAAGATTGGAAGGATGCCTTGGTGGTTCCCAATTTAAAAAAATGGAGACCACATTGATTCTAACAACTACCGGGGTCATCTCCTTCCCCATTGTGCCAAGAAAGGTCCGGGCAAAGTTTATTCAACATTGCCTTGCCAGACATGTTGAGAAGAGGCGAGGGTGGTCCTGCATGCAGGGCATTATCTTCATCCGTCTCTACAGAAGAGGTGTAGGGAATTTAAATGGGACGTACATCTTTTCTTTATTGATCTGGTCAAGGCCTGTCATACCATCAATAGGTCAGAGCTTTGGGTTTTTCTTCGTGCTTTCAGGATCCTTGACCATGCTCGCAATGATGAAGAACCTTCATGATGGTGGGCAGGCTTGGGTGAAACTACATGGGTTTGAGTCTGAATAAAACTGTGTAACAAACATTTTTTTGTTCCTGGGTAGTAAGTGTTATTTTCTAATTGCTTATGCCTGAAAAGTACAGAAAATCGCTATTATTCCCCATAAACTTTGCTTTTGTGACCAGGACAGTGATATTTTGAAATGTACTTATTTTCAATGAGAAAATGTGTATATTTGTGTCATTCCTTCACATAAAGTCCTGGTCACAAAGCAAAAGTTTATGGGGAATAATAGCCATTTTCTATACTTTTGAGGCATACGCAATTATAAAATAACACTTACTACCCAGAAACAAAAATCGTGTTACATAGTGTAATGTATTGTTCACCTTGGGGTGTGACGGTGATGTCCTCCTTCTCCACACTATCTTTGTATGTATGTATATATGTTGAACTTCTTTCGTACATGCTTTCTTTGACCATGTAGATCGAGACACTTTCCATTGCTGTACCGGAGGAATTTCCATCTGGTACAGATACAGTGGGAGGCTGATCGATGCCCGGGTGCGGTTAACTGATGGCTCCGTATTGGTCAACCGTGTTATGTATGCTAATGGTCTGGTTATTGCTGCTCACTTTGAGAAGGAGTTGGAGCAGTTACTGCTGAATCTGGAGCATGCTACAAGATTGTGGCTAACCAACCAAATATTCCACCCCCTCAACTTCCAATGAGTAATGGAGCAGTTGTGGAGAGAGTGGAAAAGTTTCCATACCTCGGCAGTGTGCTTATGACCAGCTCTGGTTTGGCATTGGTGGTCTCCATATCAGTTGAGTGGTATTATCTTTTCATTAGCTGCGTAACGCTGCGTAGAAGCTTTCTGGCCCATTGCTCCATATGACGGTCCGGGTCTTCTAGGCCACAGTTATGCCCTCCCTTCTCTGTGTTTAGAAAATGTGGAGTCCTTTAGAGAAAATCTGCACCAGTTTTTTTACATTTAAGCTGGCCTGCCTACGATCCATTCCCGGTTCAACCAGACTGGATAGTGTGAGGAGCTCAAGATCCGGATATAGTCCCATTGGTGAGCTCCTCTTACAGGCAAAGCTGCATTGGTTAGGTCATATAGCCCTCATGCCCAGCCATCAGCTTCTCTTTGACCAGATAGAGGGGACTAAATGGGCGCGGTATAGGCTAGAGAAGAGATGGACTCATGCGGTACAGGAGGATGCGGAGCTGAGTGGACTTGCCGAAGACTGGTACCTGCAGTGCCAAGATCGGCCTGTGTGGTGGAGCCTCGAGAAGGACGCTATTGAGCAGTTGGAGGCAGTCACCCTCCAACAACAGCGGAGGGCATAAGAGCAATGCTCACAACAACGAGTAACATGCCTGGTGGATAAAACGCAGTAAGTGGGTGGAGTAGGGAGTACAGGTGGTGCATCTGCCAGTCATCTCAGGCAACCCATCACACCTGGCTCTGTCCTGTGACCTCATGCCAGCGAACCTTGGACACTTCACGTGGCTTTAAAGTGCACATAGCCTGGCACAAGCATCGTGGTTATGTCACCGCCACTTAGTAGGAAATGGTCATTGTTGTTGTGTGCATGTGCAGTCAGCAGCAACTGCAGGAGGTCCGCGTTGACCTGGGTGGGCGTCTGGAGGAAGCCACCGTCATCATCCAGGAGCACATCCCCTTCAATGACACCAGTAACTTAACCCTGACCTTTAGTATTCTGTCTTTTTCATCAAATGCATCCAAAACGTTATGAATTACATCACATGCGTCATGAAATCCATCCCAAATGTGATTAAAAAAAATAATTGGACTAAATACAGGCAGACCTCGATTAGCACAAACCCATAGAACGCTGATTCATGATAGTGCTCTTTTTTCTTGGAGGAAATTTTTTACGGAATAAAAAAAAAATGTAATCGCTTTCGAGTGAAAACGAGCGGCGCCGAGGAACCGCACCCGCAGCCATATTTGTTTACATTTGCTCAGCCAATATAGAGCAACATTCGCTCTAAGCCAACCGGCACACCACCCTCCACGATTTGATTATCACGATTCGTGGTCACAATTACATTTTTTAAAATAAATTTGTTAGTCAGTGTTATTACAGTACGTTCTGAGTCATGCTGCGCTCGCCAGTTATTTTTAAAAATAGACTCCATCTTCCCGTCTCCCACCGCTGCAGTTTATGAGTACAGTAGAATGCACTTGTGAGTCCAGTACATAATACTGATATAATACAAACAATATTATTTTTATTTATGGAATAATATTTACCGTTTGTATAATTATTATGATCGCTATTACCGATAACCCAATGAAGCCCTCATTGCTCATATGTAAGAAATAATGCCGTCAAGAATGCATCTCCATGTAGTATACAGTTGTAAAATTACCCCTTTTAGCACTGATTCGATTCGCGCTCACTTTTCCAAGAACACATCCTGAGCGCTAAGCGAGGTCTGCTTGTACATGGGGCAGTGACTTTGCCCAGCATCAGCATGTTCGTTGCTTGTTGCAGAGGTTCACGGGTTCAGTTCCAGCAGGCCACACTGATTAATACTGCAGGTGCATTACAGGGACTCCTCTACTTATGAACGAGTTAGGTTCCAGAGGTCTGTTCGTAAGTTGTTCGTCTAACTTTGCTCCTGTCGATTCCAAACATGATGTATGGTATGTAAACTAAACACAAGGAATGGGTTTAAAAGTTGTAGAATCTCCTGTAGACGTAGATCCCACCGGTTCTTTATGTTCTGCAGATGTAATGCCTCCACCGCCAATTATTGCACAGCAGTTGAACTTCCGATTCTCAGTCGGAACAGGCAACTGGACATACGGACTGATTTGTTCGTATCTCTGAAAGTTTATAAGTTGAAAGTTCATAAGTCGAGGTGTTCCTGTAAATGTGATTCATGGTGACACTGCAGATCCGCCTCAACATGAGCAGTAGCCTCTAATTCAGCACTTGGTAGTGCTCCATTAAGAAGTGTGAAGAGCAGGTTTGCATTGAGCAAGTCATCCAATATGCTTATTAGTTTAAGGATTTTACTTCATCAAGCCACACTAGGCTGAAATAGTTAGAATTAAATTTATAGGATGCTTTTGTAATGCAGTCATTGGTGGCTAGGCTGAAAACATCAACAAAACTACATTTAACTGTGGGGTTTAATCATGGGTGGCTGCATCCCCGATTCAAACCTAGGATCTCAATATTGTTAGCTCCGATACATTTAGGATGTAATTAGTGACAAGCTCATAAATAGACAAAACTAATTATATGGAAATCACACAAACCACATTTGGTCCTTTTCAGTTTCACCTATTAAAGCCGCTCCCAGGCTAATTTGAACAAGAAAGACATTTATTTTGATCTCATCTGTGGATAATATTTGCATTGCTCTTGTTTTTCAGCTTCAAGCATGAACCCGTAAACCCTAATAATCCTACAGGCACCATATTTGAGCTATTTTTCAGAAATCTGAAGTTGATTGCAATGTCTATTACTGGTATTGCTGTTAAAGTTATATTTACTTGATAATATAATAAGACCGCTTTTTCTGCTGTTGATCCCCAGGCATACCCGAGTTCAACACCTTAAATGTCCCAACCTATGACCGAGCACATCAGGTACGTTGTAACTATATATATGTATATTTGTATATGTTATGTGTGTAGTGGGTTCAATTGAGGCACACACTTGATCTTGGAGGCAACACGTTTATTCACTAACTCCAACAGGTAACTCTTTACTTAACTGGATAATGACTAAGGGTGGTGACCACCACGAGTAACTATACAATTTGAGGGGTGAACACCACAGGTGACTATTTACATACTGGATGGGATAACTACTAAATTGGACCAGGACAGCCAACACGCTGCCTGGTCCACGTGCACGAAGACCGGAGACCGAGGACCCACGAAGACGGAGGATTTCTTCCCAGAGATGAACAACCACGATCACCGCTGGGACTCTGCTTTTATCCGCTGCGACGTGGCCAGGCCCCGTGCTTGGCCACGCCCCTTTTCCAGATCCTTCTCGACGACTCAGGACCCACATCACGTGTTCCTGTCACCTCCTCCCTGGTCCTTGCTACCACCTCATCCGGTCATATGCCTCCTCTGGTTCACCCAGACTGCCATGACCTCACCCCGACCTTTTCCCTGGTATACTCACTCAGGTGCCAGGGAGAGGCTCCGCACATACATTACCACTCACTCGGTACTGTCGCTACACTATAGTGACATCATCTATGACACTACATCACCCCCCCCCCCCCTTTTGTAAAACACAGCCATCCCAGCTGTCAACAAACATTAACATCAATAAATAAATCTTGATTTGAAGCTTTCGTGACTGCAGGGATCTATACTCTTTGGTTCTTTCGGTAAAGTCACGTAGGTATAAAATAAAATAAATCACGACGTTTCGGGTGCAACACAAGCGTCCATCATCACTTGATGATGAAGAGTATCAATAAATAACCGGCGACCATGCAATAAATACAATATATACAAAATGTGCAGTTACTGAGAAGGGGGAAGAGAGAGATGGAGGAGAGAGAGGACAACAACAACAAACATTAAAGCAATGTAAACAACTCTGGTTACCCCCCCACCCCAAAAGCACATCCCTTGCCCTGTGTTTGTGACAGCACCCCTAAGCACGAGAAGGGCCAGGTTTAGCCAATGACCCAACCGTCTAAGGAGTGCGACAAGCAGCAAAACGGCGCAGGAACAATGCACGGCGGAGGGGAGTCACTTCAACCGGGCAGTTCTTGAACGAGTCCTTGTAGCCGGGCCCCCAGGTGAGAGGTGGGCATGAGCTCCCTGGAGGTCCCGGGGGGAACTTGAAGATGGCCTAACGGGCGCGGCCCCTCCCGAGGATCTGCAACGACGGGCAGAGAACGGATGGGTAATGGTCGTTCCGCCGACTGTCCGGGATTAGCGCAGCCGGCAATGTCGGGGGTGTCAAGCGCTTCGATCCTGTGGGCAGAATCGCAGAACTCCCCTGAGGACCTACCTCAGCAGATGCGCACCCCAGCCTGACGGGCACACCCGACACTCGGCCCTTGTGCAATGGAGATGAAGGGATTTCAGAGGGAGCAACAAAAGGCTTAAGGCGTGACGGGTGTACAAACCAACACTGGCGACCGAACCGAATTTTCACACATTGTGGCCTTTTAGCCTGAATCACGTCGACTGGCCCTAGCCAAGATTTGTACAATTTGGGCGACGTACCAATTGGGACTTGAGAGCCTTGTCAACCAGAGCCCATGTTTTACCTGATAGACGAAGCCCCACTTAGCCGCTCATTGGCCGACTGCCGTAATTTGGAATTTTCCCTGGACGCCTCCCGTGCCTCTGACACCCGTTGAAAGGTAAGGCACATGGACGCAGGCATGTTAACATTTACTTTTCTCGGGCCCGTGTTTAGTTGGACATCAATTGGGGGGTCCTGCTTCCACCCATACATAAAAAAACGGCGAGTACCAGTGGAAGCGTGAGGGGCCATTCTGTAGGCTGCGAGAACCCCGGGGACATGTAAGTTCCAGTCGCCTTGGGACTCGCTGACCTGCTGACTTAACATGGAGGTCAGAGTCCTGTGCAGTCGTTCCACAATCCCATCTGTTTTGGGATGATAGGGCGACATCCGAACTTTTTTTGTACCCAACAAGTCACACACCTCTTTCAACAATTTAGCAGATACATTTTTGCCCTGACCAGTGAGGAGGCACTTCGGAGCCCCCTTGTGCAACACGTACCTGTGGAAGAACGCCTCGGCGATAACCGCAGCCGACTGATTGGAGGGTTGCAAGTGTTTTGTGCACCCCAAGGTGCATCAGCCGCTCATGCACCGCCCAGATGATCTTACCCCTTAGGACAGTGGGCACTACGATGCTGCAGCGGCGCAACCCGCCGTCTGAGTACATTAACAGGACCCCCTTTGAAGATGATAGGGGCTACCCCAAATCGGTTTGCCTTATCCCCAGCGTCCCTAACATGACGCCGCAGTTTGAATAAAGAGGCATCCTCCGCCTGGAGGCATCCACACTCCACGTGGTTCAGACCAAGGGTGGAATCACAAGCATCCAGACCCACGGGAAGCCACAGCAGAAGGGGGCACTGCCTCGGCAGCTGGCTTACAGCACCCCGAACCAGAGAGACATGCTCACTCGTTGCTCGGTGGTAATCATGACAGTGCGTCCGTATTCGTGTGCCTCGCACCCTTACGGTAAGAACTTTTAAACGTGTAGTCCTGGAGGACTTCCAACCATCGGGATAGCTGGCCGGATGGTTGTTCAATGCGCAGCGCGTACTGGAGTGCGCACATCAAAGCTCCTGCCATCGAGGTACGGCCGATATTGCTGTACAAAAAAAACAATGGCCAGCAATTCTCGGCATGTAACGCAGTAGCGCTGCTCAGCCGGGGACAACTCTTTACTGCCGTATGCCACGACACTTTCCACCCCGTCCACCACCTGGGACAACACGGCGCCAATGCCAGTGTTGCTGGCGTCTGTGTCCAGGACGAAGGGCAGTGAAAAATTGTTAATCGGAGGGGAGGGGCATCCACCAGGCCATCCCGGAGCGTGACAAATGCTTCCTCCTCCCCCCATCGAAATATTTGACCTTTTGCCATCAGGGCATAGAGAGGTTTAGCGATGTTGGCGAACCCGGGCACGAAGCAGCGGTAGTAGGATGCGAGCCCGATAAAGCTGCATACCTCACCCACCGACTTGGGGGTTGGCCATGTGCGCACGCACGCAGTTTTATCTGGGTCCATAGCTATTCCCGACTTGCTAACGATGTGCCCCAGGTATCAAACCGACTTTTGTAACAGATGGCATTGCTGCGGCTTGAATTTTGAGGTTCGCCGCCCGAATTTTAAGAAAAACCGCGCGTAACCATCTCAAATGCTCCTCGAACGTACGACTAAAACAATCACGTCCAAATAGATTAAACAAGATTCCCACTGGAGGCCCGCCAAAACCAGCTCCATGAGCCTATGGAACATTGGAGCAAAGTGAAGGCCAATAGGGAGCCGGTTAAATTCAAATAACCCTTGTGGTGTACGAAAAGTGGTTTTGGGTTTAGAGCTGTCATCCAGAAGCAATTGCCAGAACCCCGACAGCAGGTCAAGAGTGGAAAAATAACTCGCCCCTGCCAAAGCATCTAACAAGTCATCCATTCGCGGGAGAGGGTACGTGTCAGCCACGGAGATTTTATTTAGTTTGCGGAAGTCAATGCAAAACCGCAAACTCCCATCTTGCTTTTTGACAAGAACTATGGGAGCACCCCACGGACTGTTAGATGGAGAAATTATATCGGCGGCCAACATCTCGTCGACCGCCTGGCGCAAGGCCAACACGAGTGACGATTATCCTGGGTCTCCCCTAGGTCGAGTCGGCCTCAAATGAGTACTTGATGCGGTGTGTAAACATTGCCACTGGGGAGACAAAGGTGGCCGCTCATGCACCACCCAGATGTAGCATTGAATGGTCTAATTTTTGAACATAGTGATATTTATAAATACCTTGGGTTTTATTATTTATGCTGCCTTATTCTTTCATATGCATATTCATCAGGTAATCAAAAAAGTTGAATGTAAGGTTGCCTTCTTGTGCATTAACGAGCAATGTCTTCCAAACCCAAAATTCATAGACAGATTATTGAAGCTACAGTGGTCGCGTTTACATCGGGAGGAGTGGAATGTGCTATGCAGATTGGGGGATGTGAATAAAAGCAAGGTAGTTTTGTGAGGTCCAGTTTGCAAGTTGTTCATTGTCGGCATCTACCTCTGTGTAGCCCCGGTCCACGTGGTGACTGTTGAAGTCACTGACCTTGATGGCTGCATGAATCAGACTTTGTAGAACTTGTTAGTCGCAGTTGATGCTGGCAGACTTGTAGATATTTGCAACCTGAAATCCATCGACCTGAATTACATAACAGAGGTCAGTGGATGTCAACTGTACAGCGTCCACGATGTCAAACTGGACATATGCGGCTTGCCCGTGCTTTGGGTGTGGGACATATGACTTTATGTCACATCAGCCAACATTGCAGCGTCAAGCTTCAATGGAGGGGATGGGTGGTGAACAAGAACACTGATTAGGTTTCGCGTGACATCCAAAAGACCCTCAACGGTGAATTATAAGACTCGGAGTTCAGGCTCAATGGCATGAAAGCCACAGGGTTGCACATTGAATGGTTGGTAGTGATGATGCCGTGATCCCTCCAATAGAAGTTCCAAGAATTTGGTTCACTGGGAGGTTAATTTGTTACCTCGATGTGAACCGGGTACTGACAGGTGGCATGTCGGGAATGCTGATCCATCGTCACCCGCTAACAGCACTTACTCCAAAAATCTGTTAAAGGCTATATGGGGGATCTTTGTACTTGATTGTCACGGGGAGCAGTAGTATAGTGGTTCATGCTATGTACTAAGCACTGGTTCCCACTCATGGTCACCATCATTGACACTGCTGAATCTTTCTTGGTCTCCCCTTGGTCGACTCAGTCTCATATGAATACCCGGGTTGATGTGTAAACATCACCACTGGGGAGATGAAGGTGAACTAACATGGTGCTGACCACACCATCTCATCGTTTGCTGTGATAGACTTCATCGTTGCTTGCTCACAGCACTTGTCCTGTACGAATGTATAATTACCGGCGAAACGTCACAGAACTCGAATTGTAAATGTTGGAGGTTTACTCTCCAACACACTGGTGTGCTGAACTAGTAACTAATTGGCATGTTTTGTTATCATGCCAAACATTACTAATTGGTTGCGTCAAGTGGTGGCGGGTGTAATGACACATTTATATTTCCGCGATCTAACCCAAAAAACCTCTTATGGATAATATTATACTCTTTGGTTTTTTCGGTAAAGTCAAGTAGATATAAAAAATAAAATCAAGATATGGATAATATTGGTTGGGAAAGCCTATGTGTTAAACTATATGTATTTATGATTAACTTTTTTCGCATCTTAAATTGCCAACCGTGCTAATTGGAGGTGCGGATGTAGAATGTCTTAACATTCTATAAAGGCTATGTATTTGGTTGAAAGTTGTGTATTTTTGTGTGCATGTGTGTAGCTGCGTGCACGTGAGCTGGTAGGCCAGGCGCTGTTGCTGGTGCAGGACCTGGTGTCGTCACTGCTCAACTTCCACACGTACACGGAGCAGCGCTGCCTCGTGCACCCACTCGACGCATCCACGCACCCCGTCTCGCCCGTGAACCAGAAGGTGGTAGCGCTCCCCACAACGGCCGTCCCGCAGTCTCCTCCCATCCTATGGTTTCTGACTTAGGGTGGCTCTCATGCATGCCCTCAATTTCTCCTGCACAGTTCACGTTCATGCAGTCCTTTTGTCGTGATGTTGTTACAGGCAGGTCCCGCTTAGCCCCACCACGTAAAGCGTCGATTCCTTCGAGCTCTCTATGTCCCGCAGACATTTTTTACAACAACAAAAATTATAAAATCGAAATGCGCATAAAACACTTACGCGTGAGAGCACACAGCAGTAGCAGCATCGCTGACCGAGGAAAGGTCACCGCCCCCATCATTCGCTCGGCCAATGAGAGCGACGCATGGCTCTGAGCAAACCACAGACCCGCATGATTTGTGTTCCCGATTACAGCGACTCCTCCACTTACGAACATTTGACTTAGGAACGAATCAGTCCATATTTCCAGTTGCCTGTACGGACCGAGAGTTGTAAGTTCAATTGCCACACAATAAATGGCGGTGATGGTATCTACATCTGCAGAACATGAATAACCAGTGGCATCTACATCTGCAGGCGATTGTACAACTTTGGAAGCCATTCCCCGTGTTTAGTGTACGATTCCATACAACATGTATGGAATTGACAGGAGTAAAGTTGGACTTGCGAACAAATCGATTTACAAACAGATCTCTGGAACCTAACTCGTTCGTAAGTAGAGGAGTCCCTGAAGATTGGAAATAAATCGACTTGAGTTTTTCTTTCCCATGTTATCAAGGTGAGAACTCTTGAGACCAGAATAGAGTCTCAGGTTCCACCTAAAAGAAACCTCGCCACATAAATACAGACTGAGGGCATCACTAAGAACGTCACGGAGGTCCTGGAGCTCTTCTCTGAAATGTCCCGGACTGGGAGTGCAATAGCAGCTCCAAAACCTCCTCACCACTGCCATGTAGGAGTACAGTAGAATGCACTCGAGTACACAGTGCCATAATACTTACTCATGTTATAATTACTCTTTTTAATTCTGGAATAAGATATTTATCACCTGTGTAGTCTGTGTACAGAGGGATGTACACACTATAACTTGGAGGCAACACATTTAAAAACAACTACGTAACACTCCGGGTTCTCTAGCTAGGTGTGGCTATCTGTCGCTATGTGCGTGTGCTTAAACTGTACGGACGGATCGGTAGCACACATGTTACTTGACCCATGAATCTAAACTACACAACGAACGAGGAGCGGAGAACGAAGAGCGAAGACTTTTCCAGTTGATACCCAAAAACGAGCCCCGAATCCCCTCAGCGCTCCCCCTTTATTTCCCTAGTCGCGGCCTCGATCCATCCTTGGCCACGCCCTCGGCCACGCCCTCGACCACGCCCCCTGCTGTATCAAGCAAGGGCTCCCGGGCCTCCGGTCACGTGTCTCTCAAGCCTCCCAGGGAGGTTTCTGGCGCTCAGCAGCACTTTGAATAATGGCTGGCACTAATAGCACAGTAACCGTATTTACGTCACTACACCTGTATTATTGTTAATGGTACAGTAGAACCTCTGGTCACGAACACTTCTGACCATGACCAAATCGGGTTCCGACCAAAAAATTAACAAAATGTTTGAATCTGCTCACGAACACATACTCGGGTGGCGATCAAACACGGCCGCGGCCGATTTCCCCTTCCGCGCCATTTTTTTGTTAGCGCCAAATTTCCTGTTGTTTGTTTACAAACAACAGCGACCCACTTGTGGCCGCTTGCTCATTCAGTCTCGCTTAGTAATCGGTCTCGGTCAGACGTGCGCTCATTCGCTGTGAACTCTGTGCAGTATTTTGCGTATTTTTGCATTAATTTTGCAATTAGCCATGGCCTCTAATCAAGTGAAGAGTGGTAATGTTGGTGAGAAGAAGGTTTTAAAGAAAATTTAAATCGAAGTGAAGAAGGAAATTATTGAAAAGTATGGAATGAGTGCCAGAATTTCTTTGAAAAGCACCACCCGGACAAAACTCTTATGAATAGAGTGTAGATGCGCAGGAAAAGACAAGTCACATTAGATCATTTTTTGATGACTGTTGGTCCACCAGCTAAACGGATAAAAAAACAAGAAACCCCTGACCCAGAAATTCCTGAAGACGAAACATTAGAAGACGAAGAAATCGCAAGAGAGAAAACACCTGAAGGAGAACGTCCTTCCATCGCGGAGGCGGACTCTCCCTCAAAACAGTAACCTCCTCCCCAATCATCTTCCTCCTCACTTCTTTCACGCCAGAAGGTTTTCTCAGTGTTATTCAATGTTTTTACATTTAGTTTATTATTACACTGTGAATTCTATGGCATAATTAACTATTTTTGTGCTTAAAAATCTTTAAAAAACAATATTTATATACAGTTCGTAGGAGTCTGGAATGGATTAATCGTATTTACATACAATCCAATGGGGAAATTAGGTTCGAGTCACGACCAAATTGGGTTGCGACCAAAGTTATGGAACGAATTATGGTCGTGACCAGAGGTTCTACTGTATTCCTGGTATCCCAATGAATACCTCGTGTGCATGCTCATACTAAATAAATAATGCAGTCAGGATTGCATCCCCATGTAGTATATAGTGGTATATAATGACCCCTTCTAGCGCTGATTCGATAAGTGCACACTTCTCCAGGAACACATCCTGGGCGTGAAGCGAGGTCTGCCTGTACATGGGGCGGTAACTTTGCCCAGCATCAGCATGTTCGCTGCTTGTTGCAGGGGTTCACGGGTTCAAATCCAGCAGGTATTACGCCACCGCTCCCTACTGTGAAATTACTCCACCACGCTGGTAAGTGCGGATTGAGGGTGGGGAGGGCATAGATGAGGGAGCATATCAATACAGTACAACAATGTATTTGGCCACCCTGTCCTATACTGCTGGCCGCCACGCAATTCTACAAGCCCGATCACAAACTGTGATCACCCATTCAAGCGTTATTAAGGTTCCCACTTGCTTAGCTTCCGAGGTATTTGGGCACATATTGGGTGATTACACAAAGTATTGCGCGTATACACTCACGTGGGTGCCTTTCTGTCACTCAAGTAGGCTCTAGATGGCTGTGTTATCGCTACTTGTCTGTGTGTTTCAGACTTGTGTGTGGGTCGCACTGTGTCATGAGATTCATATTTCCTGGGTCACAGCCACTCAGCCAGCACTGCTGAGATCAGAGCAATATGTTATGGTAACTTTAGGATCATGATAAGGTCGGTTATAGAAGACATGAAAAGTGGGAGAGGTAAGTAATGAGGGCAGTGTATCAATGTTGTGCCTGTTTAGAGGTATTCATCGGCACTCCCCATGCTGTTAGCGGGAAGCTCCCCCTTCTCGTCAATAGGGGGCGGAAGCGGCGTCACGCCAGTGTAAAGGATCATGGCCCAAGGGGCCAACGCCAATCCCGAAGAGAATGGATCCTGGGACACAAATCCCCAAACCCCGAGAGGGGGGATTGGGGGATGATGTCACCTTCCAAAAGGTTCTGGAAGGGAGGCGTGGCTAGGAAGGGTCCGGCTCAGTCATCTCCAAGCTGAAGACCGAAGACGGGAGCTCAAGATAGGACCCTGGACCCCAAGCTCCGCTGTCCTTCTAAGGGCCGGAGCTCAGTGAGGCCAGCGGTCAAGACCCGGTGACCTTGGGACGGTCGGGTCAGCGTGGCCTTCCCTAAGACCCCGAGCTGGAGGGCTCAGAGCGAGAGTGGTCCAGTGTTAGGTGGCAGTGTAGCCCGGAGGCCATACCTCCTTAGGTATGGGGTGAAAGGGGCCGTTACCCCTTTGTGTTAGGGACCTTGTATTCGGTGCAGTTAAATAAATATTGTGTTGCCTCGCCTACGTTCTCCTCTGGTTCCTGACCCGCTACAATTGGTGTCAGAAGTCATTATTTATCACTCTTTTGGTGAAATTATAAGACCCAATACAAACTTGATACAGCAAATCTGGCTGTGACAGTCCCAACTGATGACGGAGACTTGTGTTGCCTCCGAAACGTCGTGATTTTTATTTTTATTTTATTTTTATTAATTTTAATTTCATTTTTTACCTACGTGACTTTACCGAAAGAACTAAGAATATGAATCCTTGCAGTCACGAAAGCTTCAAATCTAGAATAAAACAATTATACTTTGCGCATTTACCACCCGTACGCATAACAATTAAACTTGTTTCTTTAACTTGGGTGGTGGAGGGTCTTACAACTCATATTTGGCAAGATGAATGTGACTGAACCCAATAGTTTGTATATTTATTCATTTATTTTATATCAAGTGAATAGAGTAAGCGGGGTGATCCGGACCAAGTCAAGAGCATGGTGACCGGGCGTCGAGAGGAAAGGTCCTTAACGCTGATGGTGGCCGTCTGCCCGTTTTGTTTTCTCACCGCAGTTTTGCCAATTTCTGCATGAGAATGCGTCGTACGTGCGTCCCCTGGACCAGGGCATGCAGCAGCTGCATGACAGCATTACAGAGGATGCAGTCACGATGCTGGTAACACCAGACCCCAACACCGCTGTGGCATGCACCCGATGACGTCAAGGTCGCAACGGTGTAATGATAGAAATTTGACAGTGATGTGCAAGCTCAACACATGGCCTGACCTGTTTAACACATAGTAGTAGGCTTTCCCGACCAATATTACCATAATTAGAGGTTTTTGCGTTAGATCGCATAAATATGAATGTGTTATTAAACCCACCACCACTCGACACGGCCAATTAGGAAGATTTGTCACGTAAACAAAACGTATAATTTGTTGCTAGTTCACCACAACGGTTGTGTTGGAGAGTAATCTACCAGAAAAACGTCACAGTACTTGAATGGTAAATGTTGTGGGTTTACTCTCCAACACACAACCGGCGTGCTGAACTCGTAACTGATTGCCACATTTTGTTTACGTGACAAACCTCACTAATTGGCTGTGTTGGGTGATGGCATGTTTAATGACACGTTTATATTTACGCGATCTAACCCTAAAAAAACTTTTATGGTTTATACTGCAGCGGTAAGTTCGGTAACCGGGAGGCATCTTTTTCTGCGTCTGTCACAGGAGACTGTCGTGTCGCTGTCGCTGTTCTCCGACAGCCTCTCTAACTATGTGTCCTACCTGTCCAAGCTCACGCCCTACCAGCTGGAGAGGTATGACAGCTCCAGTTTTGGATGCAAATCCAAATTTTTCTTGCATTTCCACATTTATTTCATACGTGCATATCTCTCTCCCCGTGGTAGTGTGGATTTTCCCTGCGTCCTCCGGTTTTTCCCTCCACATTTAGAATAAAAATGGGTTTAGAGGATTTAGCTGCTATAAATTTTCACGTGGTAAGCCACTTCGTTGAGCTATCATTTGTGGCCAAGTCACTTCTTTTTTACCTGGTAAAATGAAAAAAAAATGGTCTAGTTTTGTAAATAGTTTCGTTTATTTCAAGGATCCATTGCAAAAATTACGAAGGCCACATGCCATCTCAGGTATCCTATTGAGATGTGGTTCCCAACCTGGAGTCAGCAGAACACTGTTGGCCCATGACGCCTTGTTAAGTGGCCTAAATGTTTTACTCTATGGCAGTACGTACACTTTTTTTGTTGACAGTTGAGAGTGGCTCGGACAGGTTTGGAACCACCACCGCTGTAGTTGAATTCCTCAGAGAAGAGAGGGAGCAGGGCTCCACGCCAGCCTGCATGACTGCACGATATCCCTGTGATGTCCCCGCAATGTCCACACTCGTGTCCCCGTGGTGTCGCCCGTGATGTCCCGCCATATCCTCATTATGTCCCCCGTGGTGTCCCGACGGTGTTCCCCGCGATATCCCCACAATGTCCCCCACGATGTCTCCCGCGGTGTCCCCCGCGGTGTCCCCGTGGTGTCCCCGCAATGATCCCTGTGATGTCCCCGTGATGTCACCCATGCAGCCTGCAGGAGGAGTCTCGCTCGCCCCTGTGCAGCGAGGAGCTGCGTATCCACAATGCCGCACTGGAACAGGACGTGAGAGCCATGACAGCAGCCTTCTCCCGCACAAGCACCTACGTGGTGGCGCTCACGCTGCCCGGTAGTGCTGCTTCATTCTCCTCCTCCACGCGCCCCCACAGATGCCTCCCACACTCACGTCTTTCACCCTGACCTGGCGCTCGCTGTCTTTCAGTGAATCCTCTCCCACTCAAAAATGGGCGTGGTTCTCACCTCATTGCCATTGGTGGCCCCTTAGCCAGTGGTGGAAATTTTGCATTCCTTCGGTGGGTCTCAGCTTTTGCCCCCAGGGGCAACCACTGACTTTACCAACACCGAATCATGTGGACAGCTGCTCCAAATAAATTTTCATTTAATAAAATGCCTTTTTATAATTGAATCTTTTCACTGATTCATTGCTCCTTCCCTGGAAAGTGGGAAGCAGCCTAACCATAAGTAAAGGGCTGTTGGCTTTCTACAAAGTGATAATGCACATTACATTGGCTCCAGGGGGATGATGATGATGGACTGAGTTGATATAAAAATGTATTTGAAAGGTGCACGGCCCTAGCACCACTCCATCTAGTTGATACCAGTGTTAATAATCACATTGGTGATTTCCCTTCAGGAATTAATATATTATCTAATTGGTTTATGGAAACCCTACACATCCTTAGGATTCTACACATTTATTTTATTTAACCAGGTGAAAACTCAAGAGACTATGGGCCCGAGTACAGAAAAAGCATGTGAAATCCACCGGGCAGCAATTTTGAAAGCCCTATGTAACATGGCTGCCATAAAAGACTTATGCAAAATGGCTGCTGTGAAAGTCCAAATGCAACATGGCCACTGTGACATAATCACTCAACGGGTTAAGTTCTTCTGCGTCTGAGGTCGTTTGTACAGTAATATTATTTGTGTTTTTTATAAAGCGATGCGAGTGTGATTCTTTGTGTATTTGTGTGAGGTGTGTTGAGAGTGCATGTATGTAATTGTTAGGTTGTATTACGTTCAGTTGTGTTACTTTCTGTGTGTAAGAGAAAGAGTGTTTGTGTGTGTATCAATCATAATGGGAAGCGGTAGTGTTGTGGGTAGCACGCTGTGCTATGAACAAGGCAACCGGACTTCGATTCCCGCTCACGGCCAACACCAGTGGCGATTATCTGAATTGGTCCTGGGCCTCCCCTAGATCGACTCGGTCTCAAATGAGTACCTGGTGTGATGTGTAAACATCGCCACTGGGGAGGTGTGATGGTGGCCACCCACTCCATCATGTAATGTGCCGGCCTTCATCAGTGCTCACTAACAGCACTTAGCCCACAGTCTGTTAAGGCTATACGGGGGTTCTTTGTATTTGTCTATGTCAGAGTGAATTTCAACAGGACCTACATGTCTGTGTTATTGACCTGGTAAAAGCCTATGATATCAATAGGCTAGGGTTATGAGTTATTCTTCCTCCTTTTGGAGTCCCAGACCGTCTGCTCACAATGATTAAGGACCTTCATGATGGTGGGCAGGCCCAGATAAAGTTGTGTGACCGGGTGTCAGAGCCATTTTGTGTCCGGGTGCGGTCAAGGGATGGCTCCCTTTTGGTCAACCATATTACGTATGCGGATGATCTGGTGATTTCTGCCAACTCCGAGAAGGAGTTGGAGGTGCTACTGCGGAACCTGGAGCATGCTACTAAGGAGATGATGTCTTACCATCAGCTCCACAAAAACAAAGCACCTACCAGGGTATTTTATGTCCTCAAACGCTCCCCTCACTATGAGTGATGGGGCAGTTGTGCAGAGAGTGGAGAAGTTTCCATATTTGGGCAGTGTGCTCATCACCAGCTCTGGTTGGGCAAAGGAGGTCTCAAGCCAAATCGGCATTATCACCAGTATGACACAAGCAGTAACATAAAAGCAATGACACCAATGAACCAGATAAAATTAAGAGGAAAACAACCAAAAAACAAACCACATTACAATGCGCCCTTAATGCCAAGCAAATAATTAATTCGTAAAGTCGAATTGTGGCAGTGTTTTGTTTATAATGCGCCAAGCACTTTCGCATGTAACGAATTGGCCATTTAATGTCGCCTCTTGCCTCCCTCCATGCTAAGGAACGAGGCCTCAGGCGATGCACCCTGACAACCACGGTGCAGTGCACACACAGCTCGGAGCCGCCCTGCACAGCCTGCACCGCGCTGCCCAGGGTAAGAGCGCGATGCGTGACCCACCGTGCCGTGTCACGGGGTCTTACGTGGTGGCCCGCGTAAAGCACCGCGCTGTCGTTATTAATTGTTCCAAGAATGCTCGCGGATGAGTCTATGGGACACACGGTCTGGGCACGTGTAGACACACGATGAGGACCGCGCTCGTTGCTTTTCAGGTCGTGTCGTTTACCGTTGTGTCTGCACGGTTTGCCTGCCTGCATGCACACACACACAGGGCTCTCTAAGCACTATGGCGCCAAGGTGAGCTTGGAGCACGAACTGCCCACTTCAAGCCACAAGCTGCGCTCCACTAACGAGTGTCTCCTCTCATCCCTCGTCACCCTCGCCTGCACCACTGGCAAGGTGCGCCCGCCTGTCCAGCACTATAGCGGCCGCCTGGGGAAGATAGCAGTAGACAGTGAGGTTGCGCAACGTTGGATGACGAAAGTCGCAGCTCATGTGATTCATCGTTGATCTTTCTGGGTTTGGACCATGTGATCTGGCAAAATCTGTCTAATTGCTACATTCGATTTTTTTTATTTGCTCTTAAACTTACTGGTGAGCTGAGAGAATTAATAATTGTCGAGTTAAACACAAGCACGAGAGTTTAATTTATTTGGCTATGCGGGATGGTGGAGGGTTCTCAAGATGATGACGTGGCCTAACCTCAAAATTCAGTGAAGGACCATTGGATGACAACTTCAACAAAGTGTCTCCCGGTACAAACGAGCGTGGGTTGGTGTTCATCTCCATTGATGGCCCCAGGGCCTCTCGGAGAAATTCCACAATCCCTTGAGGGAGGGCCAAGTCTTCCCAAAGATTAACAATTCTTGGCAGGTCGAAGTCGCTATTATTAAGACTTGAGCTCAATAAATACAGACTTATACAGGTAGGAACAACAGGTTCCACACTGCCCACCAGGGATTATTTGTCTGTCTGTCGTGCATATGGGGAGGGTGGGGGGTGAGAGGGGTGGGGCTGGGTGGAGAGGGGAGGGTGGGGAGGGGCTGGGTGGGGAGGGTGGGGCTGGGTGGTGTTGTATATGTCGGGTTATGAAAATTTTATTAAAAAAAGAATAAAAATTTAATTAAGATTCGGAAAATGTGTAAATGTGAGGAAGAATGATATTTTATTTAATTATGCGCATAAATTATGCTAAGATATCCGTATTAGTTTATGCAAATGTTTGCGATTATGTTAATGAGGGCATTTATGATAATTAAGCTTAGCTTCGCTGCCCAGAGTAGTATCAATGGGGATAAAACAATTATTCTTGCTTAAACATTAATTATCTCTTAGTGTGTTTATGTTAGGTCTCCAACCGCACATACAATTATTCCACCGCGTAACACGAGCATATCTGGCGACAGGAAAAGTCCTTAAACATGCATGCAATGATATTCATATGATAGGCGATGAGCAAACTATTGTATCCCGAAGGCAAAGTATACGGCAATAGATTAATCAGCAAGATTATATATTTAACGAAATGTCTTGGAACAATGGTGTGCGACGCCGTGCGTGTCCTCTTTATGGGAGATTCGTATCTCTGGCTAAGCTTTAATGAATTCGTGGATCAGGTTCTATGACAAAGAAACAGGTTTGATACGATATTCTCTCTCTGTGAGCGTGTAGATTCATGACGAAGGTTTCAAAAGTTTAGTTTACATTGATGAATCTATTCGTAATTTATGCGATTAAAAAAAACTAAATTAAACAAAATTTCAAAAAACGACTAAGGAACTTTTAAACGACGTATTCTTATCACTCGATGAGTCACGATGCCTTCACGGCCAGTTAGTGATTCTCGTGTATGTGCGTGTGTATTGTCCCCTTGATAAATTATTGTTTTAAGCGAAGGCCGAAGGCCGGGCGCTGTGTCATGAGCTTGTGGGTGGGGGAGGGGCATACAAACAGTGGCTTCACGCCCTGCTCCCTCGTGCGGGCGTGTCTGCAGTGAGCCTTTGGCTCTCTCCACTGCTGGATGAGCGGCGTCGGCACGATGCTGTCTTTGAAGAGGCTCGTGGCGCTCGGCGATTCCGTCGTCAGATAGCGCGCGCAGCTCGTCAGCTGCTGGATGTCTTGGTTCCCAGCTGGTGCAGGTCGGTGTGTGGTCGAACACACGGCGCATTCGATGGCGCTCTCCTCTTCCTCACGGGCGGCCGGTCAGGCTCTTTCCCCTGTTGGATGATGGGTCGACAGGACGCTCGCCACTTGTCCGCTGATGGCTGACACCCTTCGGTCGGTGGCGCTCGGTGGTGCCCGGTGGCCCCCGGTGGCGCCCGATGCTTTGTGGCGATGAACGAGGCTTTCGTTCGTTGGTGGAAGGCTTGGTCGACGGTTTGCGTTTCTACCCTTCCTCGCAGCTGATTGCTCGTCAGCGCAACTCTGTCGGCTCATACCGAACTCAGCCCCTAACGACCTCTCGTCCCATCTCTCCTCAAGGCACGACACCCATGGTTGGTGTCAGTGCCTGCCGGCAAGCCTCCGCCCAAACTCCCTCGCAAGTCTTTCTCGCAAAGCTGTGTCGCAAGACTGAAACAAGACTGAGTTGCGTGATGTGCGTTTGTGCTTAAACCAAGAGAACGTGAAACTCCCTCCCCTCTCTCTGTTCACAAAAGCCCAACTTTTTTTGATGTCGCTGGCTGTGGGGAGGGGGGAGTGGTATGTGTGTGTGCATGTGTTTTATTGAGACATCTGTTACATCTCCTCCCCCAAGCCATCTTTTCATCCATGGAACACAGATGCCCAACCTGCAATAAAAACATTTGTGAGAGCCACTTCCCTCGCTCTGGGGTTCACAGTATTTCCGTCGGGGTTTGATTTTCTTTATGGAGGGATGTTTTTTCCTTGTGTGTGCAAATCTTGCTATCCGTGCTGCGGGAAGACAAAGGCGGTTGTGAGGCTCTCTTCCTATGGAGTACATTACATCTTGGTTAGGTATGACTGACTTATTTCGCCTTTAATTCTTCTAGATGACCCTTTGTCTACTATTCGTAATAATTATTTGGTTTGTTTAGAATTATTATTATATCCCGAGGTTAGAGAATTCGTTTTGGCTTAGGAAGGACCCTGACTGCCATAATTATTATTATTATTATTATTTTTTTGATCAGGTCGCGTAGAGAATTATTGAAGGTAACAATAACATTAGTATTGAATTAATAAATGAGGAGTCATGATCCACTGGTGTGGATTGTAGCCTGGTTTTTAATTGGAGTGAGTGTGAGGATTGATAATGTTCACTTAATCTTGGTCGCTAAGTTTTGGAACTTTGTTAATTAAAATAGCCCACAACCCATCTGTTTGCTTTTCGCCGTCCTGCTTGTGAGCACAGCTTTGAAGTCCGTGTTACAACACCCCCCTCTCTCTGTCCTTTGTACGAGGAGGGGCTTATTATCTTTTATGGTTCGTCTCCGGCCTTTTGTTGCGAGCGTGTCACTGCAGCTGATCGCGAAGGGGGGGGGGGGGTGGCGTTGTTTGCGCTTCCGAGTGACTATGTGAACAACAAAAAAATATTGGCAGAATTATTCTTAATATACATTTTTGGAAAAAGGGGCACATATACAACAGTGGGGAGGGGCTGGGTGGTGAGGGACTGGGTGGGGAGGGTGGGGCGTGGGAGGGGTGGGGCTGGGTGGGGAGGGGCTGGTCACCCCGTGGTGCCCTTATAAAACTCAACGTTTAACCTACACACTACACTATACACGACACGATACACTACACTTATACAGGTAGGAACAACAGGTTCCACACTGCCCACCAGGGATTATTTGTCTATCTGTCGTGCACGAATGATCTGTCCAACCAAGTTCCTACCTGTCCACTCCGAAGGAACGTGTATTGCAAAAAACTGTATCATGAGTAGATTGCATGTGCTGCATTGTACAGCATTAATTGCCATTGTCGTGACTTGTGGGAAATTAAATATATGAAACAAAAGCTCTGATTTACAGTATATAAAACATTATTTTGTGTACCTCAATTGTTGAACCTCCAGGGCTCATGCGTTACAGCAGCATTTGTTTAAGCATGCAAATTCTGAAGTGGTTTTACTCCAGAGTTTGTCTCGTCAGCAACATTACTTACTCCTCTTCGCTCCCTGTGGAGTATAACGCCACAATTTAGCAGCCTTCTCTGCTTCACCCCAAGACAGGCCCATGGTCTTTAGTTGGTCTGGAACGGTGCGTCGCCAGATGGTCTTCGGCCTGCCCTGTGGTTTTTTTCCCTTGTGGTGTCCACTGTAGGGTGGTTTTCGCTATGAACTCGGTTCTATTGTCCCAACTTACACATTTTTTATTGGTTTTTATATACAGGTCCTGGGTTGAAATCTTGTTTGGCCAGAAGATGCGACAGATTTTCCTCAGGTAGTTGTTGTAGAAGGTTGATAGGGAGTTCATGTCTATCTTGGTGGTTCTCCAACTTGCACTATTGTATCTCAGTCCTGATTTTACTTTTCCATTATAGATTCGTACCTTCCAAATATTTATGTTGGAAGACAGGTGTGTCTTGCCTTTTTAAATCCTTTATATTAAGTTCACTTGCTTGCTTGCTTGCTCGCGCGCTTACGACCGTGCAAATCTTTCGGTCGTTTTTTAACCCACTTCCCGTGATCCAATTGAGCTGACATTTTGCACACAGACTCGTTGTGCGTGACAATTTATTTTCGTGAAAATTTTTTTCCTAAATTTTCCACTTTTTAGGAACATTTTTTTTTTCATATTTAATTTAAAATACCAATGTGATAAAAATGAAACTCTTACTCAAGAAAAACAGAAATGAATAATAAAATAAAACCGATGCCACGCATATAAAGGATTTATAGTGAAAAACTTTGTTTTTACGGGTTAATTTTTTTAGTCTGGACTTGATGGCTTTTGAGGTGGAGTTTTCTTTGCTTATGACAGTGCCAAGGTATGTAAATGTTTCAACCTGTTCCAGTGAGTTGCCCTTGATTGTAGTATTTGTTGTTGTTGTTGTTTAGTTCATCTCTTGGGTCTTTTCTATATTTATTTGCAGGCCTAGTTGATCAGCAAACTGGCTAAACCGAGTTGTTTTCTCCTGCGTATGGGTTTGTTGAGAAGAGAGCAGAGCTATGTCATCTGTGAAATCAATATCTTCGAGCACTGAGCAGGGGGTCCATTGGATTCCCCTTGGGAAGTCTCTAGTGGTACATCTCATAACTAGTGACGTGCGGTGAGGTCAATGGCTGGGGAGGCACTGGCTAGTGTCAGAGCCAGATTTACACACTGAGGGGGCGTGGCTTAACGGAGGGGGCGTGGCCTCACTAAGGGGGCGTGTCCTCACTGAGGGGGGCGTGTCAGACACGTCCCCCTCAGTGAGGCAGATGTGATAGCTGCTTCCCCTGCTGCTTTTTCATTGCAGTTTCATGACGAGACCAGCGAGCCTAAATATCTTTATACACATACGTGAAATAAGTTACCTGGAGTATGGAAGGCGAGGACATGAAATGAAGGGGTCTACAAACATTACATCGGTGACATACTGAGATCGTAACAGGCACGCGCTTATTACCCACGCTCCATCCAGTTATTGAGGGGTTGCGCAATCAGAGGGGAGGCTGAGCTCGTTACTGCCTCACCTCTCATCTCTTCCTGTATTTGCAGCGGAGCTCCGCACATTTGGCGATTTTGACTATAAAAATGATTGGAATCATACAGAAAGGACATTTATAACACAGATCAGTGGAAAAATCTTAATATTTATTTTATTTGATTATTCTTTTTTTTTTACTTTTCGTAACAGCTATTTTCATTGGAGTATGAAAGGTGAGGCACTGCCTCCCTTGGCTCCCCTGACCTCACGTCCCTGCTCATAACCCAGTCAATGGTAACCAGGAAGAGAATTGGTGAAAGGATGCATCCTTGGCGTACCCCCGACGTCACAGGGTTCAAGCCTGAGGTAGTGTTGTTGACCAGGATTGCACATTCAAATTCTTCATTGAAACTCTTGATCAGCTCAATGAGTTTTAGTGGAATGCCAAAGACTGTCTCTGTGTATGCTATGGAAAGCTTTCTTAAAATTGATGAATTTGAGGTATTGTGGGGCTTTTTATTCCAGGCACTGTTCTGTGATATTGCGTAGAGTGAATATGTGGTCCATGCAGCCTCTGCCTTTCCTAAAGCCGGCTTTTTCTTTCCGCAGGGTCTGGTCAAGGGGACTGTTAATCCTGTTGAACGGCATTTTGCAGAAGACCTTGCTAGGAAGCGAGAGGAGTGTAATTCCTCGCCAGTTGTCGCAGTTTCCAAGCTCTCCCTTTTTGGAGAGTCTCACGATTAGGTCTTTTGTCTAGTCCTTGGGGATGCTGTTACTCTTCCAGATGCTTTGGAACACGTCAGCAACATTATGGTCTGTTAAATTCAATTACAATGCAGTTAGGATTTACGCAGCGTTTAAAAGGGGAATAGCAGCAGCCGTCATGGCCACGGTAAGTGTGGAGTGGAGCAATCGTGCAGCAGTCAATGCGCCGCGCTGTGAACATCGCGATGCGATTTCCGATTCCCGGCCATAGCTAACATCGGTGGCGAATTATATTTGGAACCTGCCTGGGCTTCCCTCCCACAAAAAACCCACACTGACCAGTTTTGATAAAGTATGGTCAAACAACTCCTGACTGACACGGCATGGCGAGGCATAATGAAGCAGTGAATTTATAAAGGGCTGGATGTGATCGATGCAGCCAGGGTAATGGGGGAGGGGGTGATGATGGGCTATGGTATAGTGTACTGTGGTATAATGTGCTGTGGTACGGTGTGCTGTGTTACAATGGGCTGTGGTACGATGTACTGTGGTACAGTGTACTGTGGTATAGTGTGCTGTGGTACGGTGTGCTGTGCTGAACAGATTGCCGAGTTTTTCGCTGCCAGCCTGGACTTCCTGTCAGTAGCCCCCAGCTCCGCCTTTGGCCGGCGGGGGGTGGCCGGTGGCGCTGAAGCAGCGCGGTGCGTGGCCAAGTACCGGTGGAAAGCGGCACAGTACATGTTCACCATCCAACAGGTGACCACCACCGCTAGACCACAGCCGCCAGTGTGCTCCTTGCACAATGAGACTGCTTGCTCGCTTGCTCCAACACAGAATCAGAATCGGCGATAGCGTTCGCTCCACTCACGGAGAGACCACTCGACCTAGTACCTAGGTATACCAATCCAACCAGTTACAATCAATCAATCATCCAGCTCTCACAGTGTGACTGCTCCACCCACAATTGAGTTAAACTGCTTAATTTAGCCAGGCGAGCTGCACTTTGTCACCATGTGATGTGTCGAAGGGTTGCTGGCGGGAGATCATGGGACAGACCCAGGTACCAACTTGCTGTGTTTTATCCACCCGGCACTATGCTCTTAGTTGTGAGTCTTGCTCTTCTGCCCTCTGCTGTTATTGGAGGGCGACTAACTCCAACTGCCCAGTAGCGTCCTTCATGAGCCTCCTCTACAGAAGCCGATCTTGACACCGCTGGTACCAATTAATTAGCAAGTCTAGTCAACTCCATATCCTCCTGTACAATGGCGGAGCCAGGATTTTCAGGTAGTGGGGGGCAACCCCTCCAGCAATGTAAAATTATAGGAGTTGTTAGTCAGTAAGGACTTGTTCCTTGCTTTTTATTCGACGCGCGCACGGCGATGGCGCAGCCATCGATCAAGGGTCGAATTCGAACCATGTGTGATCGGCATCGCGCTTGCTGAAGGTGTTTGCCTTCAGGAAAGTCGTGTATTGTATACGCATCTGTGCACAATTCTGTGAGCCACATATAACTGCTTTGCCGTTACTTATTGCCATTTATGGACTCAGACTATTTTCCTATCATCGCATAGAGTCCCTACATAATAATATGCTACACAGTAGCAGTGGGCGTCGCAAAATGCCGATTTATTACTAATAAACCCCAATGATCCAATCGAAATTCGGGATTTTGATGGGATCATTTGGGGGGGCATGTGCCACCCCCCCCCCCCACTGGCTCCGCCAGTGCTCCTGTACCACATCCACCCTTCTCTTTTCCAGTCTGTGCCGCACCCATGTAGCTCCCTCTGTGCGACTGAACAAAAACAGTTTTGGGCATGCGGTGACTGGGAACACAGCCTACATGCCCCAGCCAATGCAGCCTTGCTTACCGGAGGAGCTCACCAATGGGACTGTGTCCAAATCTTTCAAGAATTTGTGTAGCTCCCACAATACAGTCTGGTTAAACCGAGGATGAATCATAGGCAGGCCAGCCTGAATGTTTCTAACTATCACAGATGTTCCATTGGACGGGTCCACGTTTTGCAAGCATCGAGAAAGGAGGGCCTGACTGGCCGAGAAGACCCGAAGCTTTGTGTGGAGGGACAGACCAGGGAGCTTCCCCACAACGTGACATAGCTAATGAAAAAGTAATGCCGCCCGACTGATTCGGAGTAAGACCTCCGCTGGCAAACCACAGCTGGTCATAAGTACACTGCCAAGGTATGGAAATATCTCCACTCTCTCTATAACTCTTGGGGAGTTCAGGGGGTGCAGTGTTTGATTCCACAGAATACCCAGGCAGGTCCTTGGTTTTGGTAGAGCTGATGGTAGGGCCCCACCTCTTAGTAGCACACTCCAGGTTCAGCAGCAGAGCCTCCAACTCCTCTTAGTGAGACACGGGAAAGAGACCGCTCAATACGTACATTTCTACTGTAGGTCAGTTCTGTTAATGAGCTTGCTGAGATGTGTTTTTATACATGCCTTACTCACATTCATACAGCCAGTTATTTTATTTTTTACAAGAGTCGTGCCGAACTTCTTTTACATCAACCATGTGTGATCGGGGTTGCCGATTATTATCACTCCCCCAACCAAATGTAATCGCCCAATCAAAATTGAGCTTGAGGAAACGTCCACTGCTCTACATAATCCCAGTTCAAGCACCCCTCTACTCCTCCTCCCCCCTGACCTGACCCAGGATGGCACCCACTGAGGCACGACGAGCATTTCCTATGTCCTGTTGATAAGCATTCACAAGGCATCTCCTCGGGACCCAACCAAAAGAACTCTGTGACTGAAAAAAAAAGCACTGCGCATGTACGTGTGTGGTCAACACTCGGGCTCAAATAAGCACCTGGTGTGGTGTGTAAACATCGCCACTGGGGAGACAAAGGCGGCCGGGCGTGTTGCTGGCCACCCACCCCCTCGTGTGCTGCGCCGACCTTCATAGGTGCTACTCGCTAACCGCACTTGCCCCAACAGTCCATTAAGGCTATACGGGGGATCTTTGTCTTTGTGTAGTCGCCCCCGGACTCGGTGCCGTATGAGGAGGCTATGGCTAACCGGGCGGTGCTACTTAGCTCCACCGAGAGCCGTGAAGGCCTGGCTCAACAGGTAACTCACTCGCTCCTCACTCACTACCAATCATTGCTCACTTCTCATCCACTACTCTGTCACTACTCACCCATCCACCAATAATTCAACCAATCACTCACGCTCACTCACTATTCACACCAATAATGCACTTAATCACTCACCAGTCACTGAACCACGAACAAAACTACTAATTCACCCACTTTTCACCCACCAATCTCAACCACTCAGTACTTGTTAAATCAGTCACTCAATCTAACATGATACTCACCACTTGCTCACTCATATGCCTACCACTTGCTCACAACTCACCGATCCCCTAATTCACTACTCACCCCTAATTCACTACTCAACTACTCACTCATTCAATGGTTACTACTCACTATTCACTTAACCCCATACTCACCCACTGGTCCTTCACTCTTCCACTTACAACTCGCTAAAGCACTCAAGCACTCACTACTTGTTAAAACACTCATTCACCACCCAATCGACTACCACTCAATTGCTACTTAATCATTCATTACTCACTAATAAATCATTCACTACTTGTTCATTACTCAGTCAACCATCTACCCATTGTACGAAGTACTCACTGTGCTATGCCAGGCTCTTTGCCACGTCCTGTGTTCGGTCATCTGTTATGCCAGGTGGGATAAAGTGCTGTGTTACTTTTTTACGTACTCATAGCCTCCAGACTAGCAAGGATGGAACTACCATATTGGTCACGACAGCCTGCGTGTTAGAATGTAACAACCCTCTCGCTGTCTCTGCTCCTCTTCACATGTTTATATTTTCTATCGCGCTGAGTCTATGGTAAAGTTTCGTTAAAAATATATTTCCGTGCGTTGGAAATGATGAATTAAATATAATGTGACTCGTGGTTCCTGTATGAGTAATTTATAATCCCACGAGGTGCACCAAACACTCGCTTCGCCGACTGCCACGCATGTTTTTTTACGTCACCTCGGAGTCGGGGCACGGTATGCAAAGTTGTAATAGCGTGTTTTTGTATTATTTGTTTGTCATTGTGAGGTTCTTACCCGTCCCCCACTGGACATCTGTGAAAAAGAGCTTAATAGCTCATCGAATTCCTCCTCCATGATGAATATTTTGATTCTGAATGCAAAAGTCTCCCCCCTCATTCTGACAGACGGGAAAGACAGTCCCAGCTACTGAATTGCCATGGGTCGTAAGGTGGTGCTGCATGTCGCCTCGGAAATTGCCTTGGCTGACGCCTTGGCATCACTGCTCCCTCTCAGCCTGCTGTGTACAATAGGCTGTGGTGAGGGGATGTGCCCACAGAAGCGCGTGCCCCACGATGCGTTGCAATTCCCGCCAACGGGCTGCCTATCACGTGACGGAAAACGGCAGGAGCAGGCAACCTGCAAAGGCACCTGGGGCACCATGCAGGCACCTCGTTTTGCCGTGGATATTTCGAGCTATGGTTCATGTGTGGACAACGCACGAAGCAACGGTCCGGTGCATGAGCGCGCAAAATATATATTGTGGATTGCATTGCGTCGAGCGATTGCATTCGCTATATCACCGACTACAATCCACACTTCCATTGTGTCGGTGCGAGCACTTGCTTGTGCCATAATTCTGATTACGGTCGGTAATCCATGCAGGATCACCGCAGTGTGTCAAGCACTCGTTACAGCCTGTGCTGGTAGCTGTGTCACGTATTATTATTATTCCAGGTCTTCTGCTGTTACCCCTGTCTGTCCCCTCTACATCTGCATTGGCTGTGCTGTAGCAGTGCTGAACCAGGCTGTTCCTGTTCTGCTGCTACTTCTGCTGCTGCTGCTGCAGGTGTTACAGACCCAGGAGAAGCTGCTGCGGCTGGAGCAGGAGAAGGAGCACTGGTTACTCGAGACGCAGCTGGCGCAGGCGCGGTTTGAGAAGGAGACAGCACGCTGCCGCCAGCTGGAGACGCGCTTGCACTTGGCACTGAGCCAAGTCGGTGCCGGTGGTAGCGGCGGTAGCGGTGAGGGGCAGGAGGCAGCGACAGCGCAGGAGGGGAACATGCGAGATGCAGTGGCACAGTACGACGGTGCTGGTGCCAGCACGCCGGTGAGTGTGCGGCGAGCCAAACGCAGCGAAATCAGCAAAAGCAGTGTGAGAGCCACTCGTCTTAATATATAACACGGTGTGCTAGAGCAATGAAGGAAGCTGTGGGAGAGAAATGTTTTCAGAAGCAACAGTTCTCCAAAGAGATATGAGAGAAAAGAGATGAATTAAGAAGAGAAATGAAACATGCGCAGAGGGTAAAAGCCCCATATGTACCTGTGCAGAATTGACCAGGTTATAAACGACCCTCTGCCCTCTCCTCGGGCATGATTAAACTATTCAACTATTGTTATTTTACCAGGTAAGGCCCAATGAACTGTATAGCTCTTTTGCAGAAGTGACCTGGCCACAAACCATAGCTCAATGAAGTGGCTTATCATCATGTGGACATTTCGAGCAGCCAAATACTCTAAAAGCGTGATATTGATTCTAAATGTGGAGGGAAAAACCGGAGGACCCGGAGAAAAATCCATGTGACCATGGTCTTAGAGTAACACGTAAACTCCAAATATACAGGCGTCAGTGTCAGGATCGAACCCACAACCTGTATACCAGGTGAGGTAATTAACATCTCGCTACCTTGGCATCCATTATGCAGCTGCAAAGCTTAACGGTTCGCTAAACTGGGCAACTAAATGACTATGCACATTCGTGATTGCTAGAACCAGAAGGGATCTGTTGCTAAAAGAGTGGATGAATTACACTGGTCAACACACTTTTTCTGGCATAAGGTATTCCAACGGTTTTTTTATGTAATTTTGGGGTGCTGATTCCAAATCTGGCATCAGTTTTTGTCTATCACATCAGGTTTTTGAGATATCAAATATTGCATTTTCAATAAAAACTGCAGAAGAAAAATATTAAATAAATGTGGATATCTACATAAGATTATATTATAAACACACTATCCTAAAAATACAGCACCATATTTTAACACTAAAGCAGTGACTGACTCGCAATAACTTGCAATCATAAGTGACAGAGTTAATTTCGGGTAAAATCAATGAAAATGGGGTATGCCGATAGCATAAAAATGAGATGTGATAGAGCAAATCTGAGATCAGATTTGGAATCAGCACCCTGAAATTAGTCTAAAACAGGTGCAAAAGTCCAGGCCAGAAAAACATTTTTTTTTTGTTGACCAGTGTTAGTAGCGGACTTGAGTCGATGATTAACTGAATTTCGTGACTGCAGAGATTCATCTTCTTGGTTCTTTCGGTAAAGTCACGTAGAAGGGAAACGTCGTGAGAATTATTTTATTATGTTTTATTTTTATTATTTTATTATGTTTTATTTTTATTATTTTATTACTTCCCTTCTACGTGACTTTACCGAAAGAACCAAGAAGATGGTAGCAAATGAATAGCGGATGATTGGTTTAGTTGCTGATGTATAAGAGAAAAATAACGATTTCACTATTTGGGAGATGTACAATTTGGGTTATGATGCTGACACAGTGACCCAAGCTTTCATTGAGCAAACAAACGCCACAAATCATCCCTTGCATCTTCTTCACATTAGCAGTACCCTCAAATAAATGAAATCGCCAGGCATCTTGCGTCTAGAGTTGAACTATGGCAATAATAACCTCTTTGACGAGTATGCTGACATGGCCACCTTGCGTCTCTTAAGACACTCTTGCCTTTGTCTCCGCAGCTCGGCCGGCTGTCAAGCTCAGAGGCGGAGGAACCGGTGGGTAGCTGTCGTGTCCATGTGATACCTTTTTGGCAGTATAAAAAATGACGTGCGAAAAAATTAGAATAGGTTTTTACCCTTTCTATAAATCACGCAGGTATTGTGTTCAGATGTTCAAATACCAAATAGATCCCTTTTTGCAAGGCATCAAGTCTGCATTTGAACATCTTAACTCCACCTGCATTATTGTCAGAAAGGGTAAAACCTATACTCCTTGGTTCTTTCGGTAAAGTCATGTAGGTATAAAATAAAATAGATCACGACGTTTAGGGCGCAACACAAGCATCCGTCATCAGGTGGGAAAGCACTTCATAAAGAAGTGGCTGGGTCTAGTGAAGTTAATGTGAGAAATTAGCATGTAACTGGGCAAGGAAGTAGCTATGATAATGTGAGAGATTAGCATGATGTTAATTTGAGGAATTAGCATGTAACTGGGCACGGATGTGGCTATGTTAATGTGAGAGATTAGCATGAAATAACAGCTGACATTGGTAGGTAGCATGGAAACATCACAGTCAGTTCAGACTTTACTTGGTTAATAACGTCCTTCCAATGATTGCTCAGATTGTACCCATCATCTCGGTTGAAGTTGTGTCTGTGTTTATATATCTGGATGGCTTCATGAACAAATCAATTTCGTGTGAGCCCACAGCGTTAAAACAATGATCGGCAACGGCCGATGTATTGGTGAAACACGGTAGGACCAATACATCGGCCGTTGCCGATCATTGTTTTAACGCTGTTGGCTCACACGAAATCGATTTTTCCAAGACGGAGGTACTCTGCAAACCTACCGGCTACCTTCAGAGATTTGTTCATGAAGCCATCCAGATATCTAAACACAGACACAACTTCAACTGAAATGATGGGTATGTAGTGGCGGTACGCGCTGACAAAGGGGCGGCGTGTGTGTGAGCGCGCCGGGCGTGGCTACATCAAGAGTGGTGGTGTTGACGCGCGCCGACAGTGATGGATCGCGGGGCGGCGCGGGGTGCGTGGTTGTGCGCGCTGACACAATGTGGGAAATAGGATCGTGGGCAGCACGCAGTGATTGGTCAACTGGGGTGGGTGCTCTCAGCGACGTCCGCATGGAGGACTATAAAGAGGGACTCACGGGAGCACTCGGGGAGTTGATAACCAGTTGAAGATCGAAGACGGAGTTGAAGAGGTAGGGCCCTGAGACCCCTAGTCCCGCTGTCCTTGTAAGGGCCGGGACCCTGTGTGGCTCGGAGGCGAGACTGTGGGACCCGTGGTCTGACGTCCATGTGGGACGAGGCTGTGGGACCCAGAGTCGAGACGGACACCCCAGCCGGGTGGGTTCCGAGAAGCTACGGGGCGTAAGAGCCCGTGAGGGTGTAGCCAGGGGAACCCTGTGGGTTAGGCTGCAGTTAGCCACCCGTGTAATATAAGTTGGTGTTAATAAAGAGTGTGCAACCCGTGAAGTCGTCTCCCGCCAAGTTCATACACTACAACTGGCGTCAGAAGTAAACCTGTCTTCAAAAGGATGGATACCAGGAAGACTACCCGTACTCACGCGCAAGATCGGGAAGACGACGGCGTACCTGAACCACAAGCCTCGGGAGGCGAGGACGAAGAGATGCCGCCGCTGCAGCACTTCGCGGCGATGGCCGACGCTTTGCTCGCCTCCGACACCGGCCTCCAGGATGCACACTCCCGCCTGGCGGAGTTGCTGCTCGCCGCTTAAATTTTGGCGGAAATCACCGCTTCTGGAGGCGGGAGGACGACAACAAGGTTGGAGGAGGGAGCACGGGCCGAGGAATCCTGCCAGAACGCGCTCCGCGCCGAAAGTTTTGAAATTGGCGCCAACTTTGAGGGTCCACCATCGATTGGCGGGAAGCGTGGACACCACATGGTCGGGGACCTCCACTCTACACAGCCCGCGTCATCGGCGCGCGCCAAAACTCTCCACCATGCGCCTGCCGACAGAGCCGCCATTTTCGTCAACCACAGCGGCGCGCGGGAAAAGCATTCATCGGAGGACGACGACCAGGTCTTCCAACAAAGACTTCCCGCGCTGACGGCGTTCAAGGCGGACGGGGGCGACTGGGGGGCCTTCCAACGAAGGTTCCTCGCACATCAAGAGATGTCGGGGTGGTCCGACACCACTGCCTTACGCGCGCTGCCGGCGACGCTCGACGACGACGCACTCGCGGCCTTCACATCCGCCCCAAGGTCGTCCCGCTCAATGCTCCAGGCCGCGCTACACCTCATGGCTAAGGTGTTCGGACCGCCCTCGACCTGTCGCCACCAGTTCTACGAACGGCGTAAGGTGGAGGGAGAAACTACGCTCGCCTATCGCACGTCGCTGCTCGCCCTGGCGGACGCCGCCTTTCCCCGCATGGACAAGGAGGGGAAGGACGCCATGGTGACAGAGCAGCTGCTGGCGTTGGCTCACGACCTGGGAGTCCCCATCAATACGGCGGACGAAATGGACATCTGCTCCTTGGGGGTTGCTACAAGCATCCACGCACACGAGGTCCTCAAGCGCAAGCGGACGGTCGTCTGTGCATCGGTGGGGATCGCGACACCTGCCGCGACTGTCGCCGAGCCTCAGACTGCTACGGCTCGGGAGGAGGCCTTCACCGTGTCGAGACCGGGGGAGTGGAGATCGGGAGGTCGTTCGCCCATACGATCGTCCCGCAAGCTGGAGCAACCGAAACCTACGACGTCCCTCATCATGTGTTACAACTGTGGCCTTCGGGGTCATGTCGCAGCCGGGTGCCGGGCTCCGCGTCAGTGCGCCACGGGACCACGTCCGGACGACGACCAAGGCCCGAAGTCGTCCCAGCTAACCCCGGCAAGTCGCGGCACCCCACACGCTCGGTCCACGTACACGGCACACTCGGGTCGCCGCTTCGCGGTGGGGGGACCGCGTATGGGGGCCGGGGATTCGGTTCGGCGAGGGGGGTTCGTACACGGCCCGGGAGCAGTCGAATGGTTCGAGTTGGCCCACAGGATAGTGGCTGCGTCGGCCGGGTCGTCCGTAGTAATGGGTTTTATTGACGGGGTTGAGGTCCGGGTGCTGGTGGACACGGGTGCGTCGGCCACTATCATTTTGGACCTTATTTATAACATCCTCCCCGTCCAAAGTCGACCCCTTCTTCCGGTGGACGTACCATTTTATGCGGCGAACGGGGGATCTTTGGGAATTATCGGACAGATTCGGGCGACTATTTGTATTGGCGATATCAAATTGGCGGGTCCTATTTTTGTCTCATCATCCCTGGCAGTTCCTTGTTTACTGGGTACGGACTTTCTGGCTAAAATGCCCATTAAAATTCTCGTTGATCAGGCCTGTATTGAGCTTCCATCGGGTCGGCGTGTTGCATTTTTGACAAATCCTACCAAAATACGCGCGGTTTGTGCAACGGTTCAGGCGCTGGCAACTCAGACTGTGCGGGTGCCCCCGGGATCGCAAATGTTGGTACCCCTTCGATTGCGGAAACCCCTCGGGGTAGATGCGGGGGAACAAGGTGTTCTGTTGGGGCCGTCAAACAGAGCTGTTGGGGGCCTCGACTTAGCGGTAGCTCAGACCATGGTGCGGGCGGACAGGGATCCATTCGTTATGGTTCTGAATACGGGGTCGCGGCCAGCTGTTATCACACAGGGCACGGTGCTGGCTCACGCGGCGCCGCTGCCCGTGGATGAACAGCTCGTTGCACACGCGAATTCTAGCCTCGATACGCATCCTCCATTGGAGGAGAACGAATGGTTGGACTCGTTGTGTGCTGGGTCTAGTAACTTGTCTAGTGTGCAGTTGGGAGCGTTGAGGGGCCTTCTACTCGAATTCGCTGATGTGTTTAGCAAACACAAGTACGATATTGGCTGCACGGACCTGTTGCGCCACCACATAGCGACGGGTGACGCGGCCCCAATTCGGCAGAATCCCTTCCGGCTCAGCCCAGCCGAGAAGGAGCATGTGCAGTCGGCTGTTAATGACATGTTGGCTGCCGACATCATTTCGCCCTCTTCCAGTCCGTGGGGTGCTCCCATCGTCCTTGTTAAAAAACAGGACGGGTCCTTGCGGTTTTGTGTGGATTTCCGCCGCCTAAATAAAATCTCAATGGCCGACGCGTATCCACTCCCAAGGATGGATGAGTCGCTGGATGCCTTGGCGGGAGCACAGTTTTTTTCGACGCTTGACCTGCTTTCGGGATTTTGGCAATTGCCCCTCGATGAGGAATCGAAACCAAAGACCGCTTTCCGGACACCAGGAGGCCTATTTCAATTCAATCGATTGCCCATGGGGCTACATTCCGCTCCCGCCACGTTCCAAAGGCTCATGGAATTGGTTTTGTCAGGACTCCAATGGGACACCTGTTTGATTTACCTCGATGATATCATCGTTTTCAGCCGGACTTTCGAGGAGCACCTCCAGCGATTGAGAGGGGTGTTCCTCAGGATGCGTTCCGCTAAATTAAAATTTAAACCGGCCAAATGTCACCTGCTTCGGGAATCGGTCAGGTACTTGGGGCATATCGTTGGCCGTTCTGGGATCTCTACAGACCCTGCTAAGACGCACTGCGTCAGCTCATGGCCAACGCCAACCTCAGTCACTGAGGTCCGCAGCTTCATAGGATTCGCCTCCTACTACCGCCGTTTTGTCGAAAATTTTGCCACCATAGCCAGGCCCCTACACGCTTTGACGGCTAAAGGGGTAAGGTTTCACTAGGGGCCGGAGGAGGAGGCTGCGTTCTGCTCCCTTCGGGACGCCTTGGTGCGGGCTCCTCCCTTGTGTTACCCCGATTTCACGCAACCGTTCCTGCTTGACACGGATGCCAGTAACACGGGTATCGGGGGAGTGCTCTCACAGGTGGTCGGGGGTGTCGAATGGGTGGTCGCCTACGGTAGCAGAGTTTTGTCACCTGTGGAACAACGCTACTGTGTGACACGTCGTGAATTGCTAGCGATTGTTTTTTTTATCCAGCAATTCAGGCCGTATCTCTACGGCCGTCATTTTACTGTTCGTACGGACCACGCGGCTCTCCAATATGCAATGCGGGTGGCGCAACCCTCCGGTCAGTTGTCCCGATGGCTGGAGGTCCTCCAAGACTACCAATTCACAACAATTTACCGAAAGGGATTGCGGCACTCGAATGCGGATGCCTTGTCGCGGTTGTCGCCTCGCTCGGAATGCGCATGTCTTCTGGGATCGGCGCGGTGTAAACCCCCTGTCGCCGTCCCTGCGGGAGTTTTGCTCGCCGCCACTGACGCTCCGCGGGTCGACGCGCCCGCCGCTCCCACGGCCGGGGACTCGTTACTCACGTTGCCTCTTATTGAGTGGGGCCGTCTCCAAATGGCCGACAGCTCCCTACTCACGTTGCGTCGGAAGGCAGAGGCTCCCGGGGGGGGGGGGGGGAGACGCGGGTCAGTTCCTGGGTGGTCAGACAGGGCCTCCTGATGAAGTGGGACAATATGTCCCGGCGTCATACGCTCGTTGTGCCATCTGCTATGCGGGGTAGAGTCGTTCTGGCTGCTCACGAACGACTCATGCATTTGGGATTTTATAAGACGCTCGCCCTACTCCAACGGGACTATTATTGGCCGGGTATGGGGAGCGACGTGGCAAACATCCTCAAGGGATGTGTGGGGTGCGCTCAAAGAAAACCGCCACCAATAGCGGCTAATCCACCGCTACAATCCATCCAGATTTCGCGCACGAACGAATTGGTTGCCCTCGATATCTTGGGGCCCTTTCCCGCTACACCTAGGGGTAACAAGTACCTGCTGGTTGGCGTAGAATACTTCACCCGATGGCCCATGGCGTGGCCACTCGCCAATCAGTCGGCTGCGGCAGTGGCAGACGCCTTTGTCCAGGGCTATGTTTTGGACAAAGGCGCCCCCGAACGCTTGCTGACGGATCAGGGAAAGCATTTTTCGAGCGTTTTGTTGCGCGAGGTGTGCGACCTGCTGGGTACGAAGAAAGTGCGTACCTCCCCGTACCACCCGCAGACTGATGGCATGGTTGAACGTCTAAACAGGACGATTACTTCTATGCTGTGCCAACAGGTCTGCAACGATCAGGTTGATTGGGACTTACAGGTACCTGGGGTGCTCGCGGCCTATAGAATGGTCCCCCATGCGGCGACGGGGTTTTCCCCATTTTTTCTCATGTATGGGCGGGAGGCCGATTCGCCCATGGATGTCCAACTGGGGATTTCCCAGCCACGTGCGAAGTCTAAATTGGCCGACCACATCAAATTTAATATCGCCAAACTGGCTGAAGCGCGAGAGGTTGCGAGGTTGAATTCGAGGTCTCGCCAGATCGCTAACGAAAGATTGCATGCACAAAAGGTGTATACGCACGATTGGAAACTAGGCGATAAGGCCTGGCTGCACTGCCCACATGCACCGTCGGCTACGTCCCCTAAATTGTTGAGACCATGGAGGGGACCTGTGGAAATCGTGCATATTGCGCGACCCCAGAGTATCCAGATTAAATGGGGAAAACGCCGTTGGTACGTACACCCCTCCCGGCTGAAACCCTTCGCGGCACCGCATGGCCTCCCCTTGTGCCGTAACGACCGAGCGTGTGATGTGGCCGTCGACTCGGGGAGGGATGTGTCGCAGTCTGATCCTCACGTGTCTCCGCCTGACCCACTCCCAGGTGTCTCGGACCTGACGGCTGCTGACCGTCGTGAACCGGAACCCCGAGGCACGCGCGGATCTCCGATGCCTGGCCCGTGCCTTCCTGGACTGCCGGCGCCACCGGACGGTCAACCGCGTCTGGTGCCGTACGACGGACCGGCCAGGCAGACTCGTGCTAAGACACGACACTTTTCATGAAAATAATAAAAAAAAAAAAAAAAAAAAAAAAGGGGGGGCCGAGATTGCAGCTCGTCGCCGCGTTCCCCTTCTGCCCGGTATAATGTCCCGTTCAAGGGGCGGTCGGAAATGAAGGGACGCTGCACGAGTCATTTTCTTGTATACACATTTATTGTTGTCGCTCGCCGGTTTGTACATATTGTTCTTGTTGTTGCGGTGGCATTTTCTGGTTCTTACGGATGGCGGAGTTCTTATTGTGTTGTGTTGTGTTGTTGTGATTGTTGCTTGCGTTACGGGGCACACACGGGGGGGGGGGTAATAAAAAAATTTAGCAGCCGGGTCGGCTGCGAGCTATGTGGTAGGGGGTGATGTAGTGGCGGTACGCGCTGACAAAGGGGTGGCGTGTGTGTGAGCGCGCCGGGCGTGGCTACATCAAGAGTGGTGGTGTTGACGCGCGCCGACAGTGATGGATCATGGGGCGGCATGGGGTGCGTGGTTGTGCGCGCTGACACAATGTGGGAAATAGGATCGTGGGCAGCACGCAGTGATTGGTCAACTGGGGTGGGTGCTCTCAGCGACGTCCGCATGGAGGACTATAAAGGGTGACGCGCGGGAGCACTCGGGGAGTTGATGACCAGTTGAAGATCGAAGACGGAGTTGAAGCGGTAGGGCCCTGAGACCCCTAGTCCCGCTGTCCTTGTAAGGGCCGGGACCCTGTGTGGCTCGGAGGCGAGACTGTGGGACCCGTGGTCTGACGTCCATGTGGGACGAGGCTGTGGGACCCAGAGTCGAGACGGACACCCCAGCCGGGTGGGTTCCGAGAAGCTATGGGGCGTAAGAGCCCGTGAGGGTGTAGCCAGGGGAACCCCGTGGGTTAGGCTGCAGTTAGCCACCCGTGTAATATAAGTTGGTGTTAATAAAGAGTGTGCAACCCGTGAAGTCGTCTCCCGCCAAGGTACAATCTGAGCAATCATTGGAAGGACGTTATTAACCAGATCAAGTCTTAACTGACTGTGATGTTTCCATCCTACCTGCCTATGTCAGCTGTTATTTCATGCTAATCTCTCACATTAACATAGCCACTTCCGTGCCCAGTTACATGCTAATTCCTCACATTAACATCATGCTAATCTCTCACATTATTATAGCCACTTCCGTACCCAGTTACATGCTAATTTCTCACATTAACATCACTAGACCCAGCCACTTCTTTGACCCTTGGGCTACACCCATTTCAAACCTTTTTAAACAGTCTGCATCAGCAGCAGACCATGCTTTCCCACCTGATGACGGACGCTTGTGTTGCGCCCGAAACGTCGTGATCTATTTTATTTTATACCTACGTGACTTTACCAAAGGAACCAAAGAGTATGGATTCCTGCAGTCACGAAAGCTTCAAATCAAGGGTAAAACCTATTCAAATGTTTTCATCATTGTTGACATTGGCAAAAAGGTGCCATACATATGTAATAATACTCTTGGAGACGACTTGTGGAATCGGTCCTTTTATTTATTCCAGTTCACAAGTACTCCCCGCTGCTGGCAGGCAACGGGAAGTGGGCAGACAGACCACAAGAGACGCACCTCCACGTGGCACTCGGAGCCCCGCTCGCGCGTGGCCCCTCTCTTCCTTCGTTCTTCGTCTGACCACGTGTCGTTCATCTCTCCCCTTATTTAATGCCTGGGTCACGTGGTACGCTCCAGCCAATCCTTGGTAGCCTGCGCCGAATCTTCTAGATTCCCGATCAACTCCCGGGACCACACCCCTGACTTGTTTTCCCATTGGCTGAGGCCAAAACTAGCAGAACCAATCACCATAGCTGGCACCGCTCCATCACGCCAGGGCCATGCTCCCAGGCTCTCCCCCCATTGGCTGTAAAACAAGACCGGCAGAGCCGATAACCACGTGAGCCGGACATAGGCTCTTATTACACATATAACTGTTTGACCCGAGCTATAAGTGGTCTGATACTTGCATTGCCTTGGTACTGTTCGCCTTTTGGCGTTCTCTGGTCTAACACTGGTGGTGAGACAAGGCCATGAAGAAGACTGTCTCTGGTGTGGGCCAGTTTCAAGGAAAATGCATATATGATCAAAGAATGTTTGTATGTTTTGGCACAAGTACGTGTGGTTAATGCAGACTTGATGCCTTGCAAAAGGTATCTCTTTGGTGTTTGAACATCTTAACACAACTACTGTTTTATTGCCACAAAGGCTAAAACCTATTCTAATTTGTTCATCATGACTGTCCTGTGTCTGTGCGTTTTGGGGAGCGGTTGTATCGTGGTTAGCGCAGTGTGCTAACCACCACCCAACACGTGCGCTGGAATTTAATGCGCAAATTGTTTTTTTTTTTTGCTCACCGGTCGCCAGATCATTACGCGAACGATAATTATTGATGACAATGATGATAATAATAATGTGGCCGCTCTCCATGTCCCCCAAGTCTGTGCTGGAGGATGGGCGCGAGCAGCTGATCAAGCGCCACTACACAGCACGCGTGACTCAGCTTGCCGCTCAGCTGCAGCAGGCGGACAGCAGAGCTGTCCACTTCCACGCAGAGGTAAGACTCACGGGAGTCCTGTGGCCTTCTGGTCGTGCATATTTTCAGCATGGTTGATTCAACACAAGCAAACTCTTGACCGGTTTTAACAGAACAGTGTCTCATCAGCAAAGCCAGGCTTGCTGGTGAACTGCCAGAGGCAAGGATTTTCTCTTTCAGATATCGATCCTATTTGTTATTTTGTGATCAAACCAGGTTCTTTACATTTTTTTCTTCTGCTAGCCACGAGAGGACTCCAGGAGAGAGTTCGTGGAGATTTGCTATTCTTCTGCTGAAGGAACGCGCGCAGACTACAGTGGTTTACAATATGGTATATAGTTGGGCCACAAGTGGACTGTGGCTGTGTCTTTCATTTTCCATTTGTGGAAGAGATTTTGGCATTGGCCTGTTTATGTTCTGATGCGGTCGATGGTCACACCAGTGTCCTTGAGTAATGTCAGGAAATCCGATGTTTGGGTCTCAACAGAGGTGTTTATTCTGGATGCTCGCTCGTGAAGAACTCTGGACAAATGCCATCATATCCTAGTGCCTTGTTGGTCTTTGTGGCTCTGGGGGCCTCTTCCACTTCAGCGACAGTGCACGGTTTGCTCAGATCTGTTGCTTGCGGTAGTTGGCTCAAGGCGATGGCGAGTTGTTTACCGGACAGCTTGTTTGGTGAGCTTGTCCATGCATTCCTTTGAGCAGGACAGCAGCGTTTAGGAAGCCACGACAGTTGCTGTAGTTGTTGGTAGTCTGTGCTCTCTTGGTTTTGAGGCACCTAGGTTCCTGCGGAGCTGCAAGGCTTTAGGGCCAGAGTGAGTGAAGTCCAAATCTGCGGTGATGTCTTCCCATTGGTGTTTTTCATGCAAAATTGAGCAACTCCAGAAGTGCGATGCCCTTATCTCGGTCACCAGTTCTGACGAACTATTTCAAGTGTTCTGTTTCTGAGTGACAAATTGAAATGTACGTTTTTCCGATACTCCCTTAAGCTGTTGCCCGACAGCCGCTTTATTCGAGTTTCACCTTCGGCTTCATCATCTTCTGAGTGACCCCATTGTTTGGTGACTGTTGGAGTCACCCCACGTCTATAGCCGGGTGAGCAGCTGCTGGTAGAGGTGGTGATGTCCATTCCTTATTTGGGGGTCTTATCTACAATGATGACTGTCACAGACATCCACCCTACATCCTTCCTTGTGGAAGAGATACGGATGTAATGCGAGCGTATGTGGGGTTTCGCCGCCCCATCCCCTAAGCCAACCAGGCGCCACGAACCATTGGGGGCAGGATCTAAGGGCGGAGCCCGCGGGCGTTAAGGGGGGGGGGGTATTATCTGGAAAGTTCTTAAGAGGTCTGGGTGACGTGGGAAGAGGATATAAGGGGGAGCCGGAAGGGGCTCGGGGTCAGTTGGTGGGAGCTGGAAGCTGGGCCACGTCGGGAGTCTCCGCGAGCCATCGGCCACGTGGAGACGCGGAGACGGCTCCCAGCGCGCCGTCTGCGAGCGGTGCGCGGGAGCGGGGAAGTGAGAGAGCGGCGCGGGAGCCGGACGTTAGTTCCGCGACGTGCCGTGGAGTGACCGGGAGAGCGGAACGCGAGCTGTCCAATGACGAAGAAATAAAGAGACGGAGACACAGTCGCTTGTCGTCGACCCGTTTTATTACACGTAGATGACACGTTCGTCATCTGGCCACATGGCCTGCCAGCACTGAACCAATTTCTCAACCACATCAATTCCATACACCCATCTATCAAATTCACCATGGAAGTGGAAAAGGATGGCAAGCTACCATTCCTGGATGTGTTGATCGAGAAGAGACCTGATGGCTCGTTGGGACACTGTCTACAGGAAAGCCACCCACATGGATGCCTATCTAAAGCCTGACTCCCACCACCATCCAGCCCAGAAGAATTCCCTCATCCAAACACTACACCATAGGACCCATTGCATATCCGACCAGCATCACCTAGCCAGTAATCTGGAGAACGTACACCAAACCCTCAGGATGAAGGGATATTCTGACCGTACAATCCGCAAAGCTGTCTTCCCAGCCATGGGGAGACAACCATCTGAGGATCAAACCAATACCATCACTTTGCCATACATAGCAGGGGTTACCAAAAAGATTTCCAAAATCTTAAACAAACACAAGATCCAGGTTGGTTTCAACACAGTACACAAAATCCGTGATTTGATCCCATCTGTGAAGGATGTGATGCAATACCCGGGTGTCTACAAACTGAGTTGTGGCTGCGGCAACAATTACATTGGGGAAACGAAACCACATGTCTCGGACCGCGTTTGCGAACATAAGGCAGATCTGAAACACGGCAGGACCAATACCTCTGCCGTTGCTGATCATTGTTTATATGCAGTGGGCTCACACGAAATTGACTTTTCCAAGACGAAGGTACTCTGCAAACCCACCGGCTATTATCAGAGATTTGTTCATGGAGCCATCCAGATAGAAAACACAGACACAACTTCAACTGAGAAGATGGCTACAAACTGAGCAATCATTGGAAGGACGTTATTAACCAGATAAAGTCTGAACTGACTGATTTTTCCATCCTACCTGCCTATGTCAGCTGTTATTTCCGACTCTGTGTCTCTTTCTCTCTCTCTGCATCTCTCTCCGATCTCTACTTCAATGACCCGGGTGCTGCCGGGGGGTCCACTTTCTGTCCCACCTCCTTCTCCCCCTTCTCTCTCCCCCCCCTACTGCCAAGTCCTATATAACCTCGTGCCACGGCAGATCTCGCCTACTTCAGAAGTTTTTTCTTGCAGTGGTTGTCCCACCTGATGAGAATTGCTTGTGTTGCGATTGAAACGTCGTGATCTATTATTTTTCTACCTACGTGACTTTATCGAAAGAACCAAAGAGTATGGATTCCTGCAGTCACTAAAGCTTCAAATCAAGATTTTGAAGGGTTATTGATGATGTGTCGTCGCTTATTGCGGTGGACTTGAGAGCGTAGTCTTTTTGGCCTTGAATGACGAAGGTGGCTGAGGCCATGGTTAGGGTGGTAGATGGCAGGGTGCAACCATTTATTTTGCAACTCGCTCGTCCGCTTGATGTCCTCCTCTCCTGTACAGCGACAACGTCCGTGTTGTCTTCCCATGGGTTCTTGACCAGCACGTCACGTTAGGTCTTGAGAGTCCTTCAGTGCTTGCTTGCTTGGTCCACTCAAAGACCTTGTCCCATCAGATTCTGGTCTTTGATTTAAAGAGCCTTTTTTCAGGTATTTAAGTTCTACTGATCATATCTCGCTTTGAATCCACAACATCCATTTGTGCCTAGGTGATGGGACGAATTGTGTTTATGGTAACATGATGATGCGTAACAGGTGGGTTTACGAAAAAGTCTCCCCATCTCCCACTCATGTAGTGGATTGGGAGTGATACGTGGGTTATACAGGAAGCCACACCAGCTTATCACATTTACTCAGTTGCAATTTTAATCACAAATTAATACACAGAAATATTTAAAGTGTGTATTTTTTCCTTTAGTTCAGCATGTTATAAATATTCCGTTAGATAGCCACACAACAAACACTCATAAAATGGCATATCGGTTGTGTCATCTGGATGTTGTGTAATTTGGATGTTTTATCACCGTGTTTTTTTGCCATAGTAAGTTTGCACGATCTGGCATTGTGTAAGAAAGATCTCTCGAAAGTACCTCGAACATAGTTCTGTGACATCATCATCAGCTGGGGGCCTCTCCTGAGTATGACTTGATGTTACTGTGAGGATCTAATGTGACAAAGCCAATAGTGGTTGGGTTATCAATGGGGGGCAGGGGGTGGATGGATAATCATTCACAGACATTACTCAATTGGGATTACATACAGCAGCAATCAACCCCCCTACTGGAAGAATAATGCTCACTTGCAGGCCAGGTGCTGAAATCACCTCGTGCTGCACAGGGACAGCTGCCACTGGGGGGTGCCTTTTTGAATGTTGAGATTTAGATGTGATGCAAGTCGCTTAAACCATGGGAAGTGTTCAGAGCTGCCCCCTGGTGTACTGGAGGGCACTCTATCAGAATCACAATTGATCGTCACTATTATGATGAGTGCTACTGCCCCTCCTGTAGTCTGTGTGGCTAAGTTAAGGATGCCTTTTGCACGTTTGTGCGTATGTATGCCAATGGAGAGCGGTGATGTAGCGGTCAGTGCTACGCTGCCCTATGAACCCAGCGACCCGAGTTCGATTTCTGCTTACGGCCACCCCAACACCAGCGACAATTATATCTAAACCGATCCTGGGCCTCTGCTAGGTCGAATCAGCCTCAAATAAGCACCTGGTGCGGTGTATAACATCACCACTGGGAGGGGGGGGAGGCAACGCGGCAGGGCGTGGTGGCCACCCACTCCCTCGTGTACTGTGCTGTTCTTCATTGGTACTCGCTAACAGCGCTTGCCCCAGCAGTCTGTTAAGGCGAAATGGGGGATCTTTGTCTTTGTGTGTATGCAGTGCCGTGCTCTCAGCAAAAGGCTCCGTTTGGCAGAAAAAGCACGGCAGCAGTTTCAGAGCGAACTTCACACAGCAAACCAGAACCTCAGCAGTCTGCAGGTGAGTCGAGTCATGGAGTCACTACACTCATTAATCCATAATTCTTATGAGTCAATATCAGCGTCCTGCCAATTAAAAAATTCCTATCACTTCCAAAATTACGCACAGGTTTCAACACTGTATTGAATAACCGCACCCTAAATACCCTACCACGTTCATCGTGTATCAACGGGTTCAAACAGGTGACACTTGCATTCTTAATTACTCCATTCCTCTGTAAAATCTCTACACGTGTGGAGTGGGCTTCCAGGCTATCCCAGCGAAATCCCTTTCACGGATTGAGGTGCCTGCACTTATGTTGCTGTTTCCACTGGCAGACAGGGCTCGATTGTTCCATCGTGCTTCGTTTCAGCACTGCCGCTTCACGCGTTGTCAGTGTTCACGCTCGGTCACTGCCTGCCCGGGAAACTCTCACGGGGGGGCTACGCGGGGACGGAGAAGGCCAGAGGCATGATTGCAAAGGGGGGACCTGGACGTGCTTAATGACTGGGTACCTGCAGTGTCACGGTCGCTCTCTACATATGAGGTGTGTGAATGATGCTTCTGGGCAGTTGGCAACGGTTACCTCCCAACAACAATTGGAGGAAGAGGAGCAATTCTCACAGCATAAAGCAGAGCACCGGGTGGCTAAAACACCAAAAAGTAGGTGCAGATACTCGCCTCAGAGTCACAGTTATTCATTGTATTATATGTAGCTTATTATAAGTTTCATTATTACGATCTGCATATTCCTAATGGCTCTAGTGTGTTAACCAATGACACTTACAGGTCAGTGCCATCACCTCAAAGTACACTCAACCTGGCAAGTGCCCTCCACCGTGTAGTGGTCTGTGTTGAATTTCGATTTAAAGCTTTCGTGACTGCAGGGATTCATCTTCTTGGTTCTTTTGGTAAAGTCACGTAGAAGGGAAGTAATAAAATAATAAAAATAAAACATAATAAAATTATTCTCACGACGTTTCGGCCACAACGCAAGCAGCCGTCCTCAGGTGAAAACCAGGTCCGTCGAGGCGACAGTCTGAATGAAACAGCACACGAGCTTGGAGCATATATATAAGGTGGGTGCCTTGACAAAAGAATTTGCATATCAAGAGGAATTTAGCATATTTGTAGGGGTGTTAGAGAGAGAGCCCGTTATGCATGGCAGCCTATGGCAAACAAACACAGTGGACGGGGCTACGTAAGTGCACGGGGAGGTGCCCTCTACGACGTCCGAGCCAGGCACCCTGGGGGGGGGCTGGTTCGAACGTTATGATCCCCCGGGGCCCCACCCCTCAGGGAGGGGTTGGGTATAAAAGGGGATGTATCAAAGGGCTCGGGAGTTATGTTAAAAGCTAACCAGAGAAGACTGAAGACGTCTTAGATAGAGCCCTGGACTCCCCTGGTTCGATGTCCTTATCAGGGCCGAACAGGACTGAGCCAGCGGCGTGGTCCCGAAAGCCAGAGCCGGTGCTCTTGTAAGAGCTGGTCTGGGACTCCGGGTACCGGGCCCGACTTACCAGTGTCGGGCCAGATAGCCTCCCCTAGCCCATTAGTGGAGGACTAAGAGGCAGGCTAGGAGTAGCTAGGACGTGTATCCTTAGCTAGTCGGGTGAGGGGGCCGATACCCCCTCCAGTGCTGTATGCCACGAACGTGCTGTGTCAAATAAACCCGTGTGCCTCCAACTCCGGTGTCCAAGAGTCGTGAACGATATTACATATTTATGGGAAATGCAGGAATGTGATTAGTACTACATATGCATGTGCATTATGCAGGATTAACAGCATCAAAGGGAGCTGCAGTTGCTGCTGCTGCTGCAGTTGCTGCTGCTGCTGCTGCAGTTTCTGCTGCAGTTGCTGCTGCTGCTGCAGTTGCTGCTGCTGCTGCAGTTGCTGCTGCTGCAGTTGCTGCTGCTGCAGTTGCTGCTGCTGCTGCAGTTTCTGCTGCTGCTGCAGTTTCTGCTGCTGCTGCTGCAGTTGCTGCTGCTGCAGTTGCTGCCTTATCCATTTTAATATAACACTATGTATTATTCTACCCACCCTAATGTGTATCACACTGCTATATATCTACTATACAATTACGACACCATACATTACTCTGCACACTACACCATGCCAATGAGTGGAACGCGGTCTGAAAGTCACCGTAAACGTGAACACAATCAGTTAAGATCCGAAATGGTTTATTACGTCCTTCCAATGATTGCTAAGCCAGAATCCATCTTCTCGGTTGAAATTGTCTCTGTGTTTGTATATGTGGATCGCCTCATGAACGAATCTCTCATGATAGCCAGATGGCTTGCAGAGAACTTCTGTCTTGGAGAAGTCAATGTCATGTGAGCCCACTGCATTGTAACAGTGATCTGCCACGGCTGAGGTGTTTGTCCTACCGTGTTTCAGGTCTGCTTTATGTTCACGGATGCGGTCCGAGACATGTCGTTTGGTTTCTCCAATGTAACTGCTACCACAGAGGAAACTTAGTTTGTAGACGCCAGGGTACTGTATGTCTGGAACCACATCTTTTACAGACGGGACCAGATCACGGATTTTATGTACTGTGTTGAATCGGACCTGGATCTTGTGTTTATTCAGGATTTTCGAGATCTTTTTGTGACCCCAGCAATGTAGGGTAAGGTGATGGTCTTGAAAGGCTCCTCAACAGGATCCTTCTTGATGGTTGGGGTGATGGCCTTGCGGATTGTGTAGTCGGAGTAACCATTAGCCTTAAGAGCTTGGCGTACGTGTTTGAGTTCACTGCCAATGTGTTCCTGGTCGGAAATGCCTTGGGCTCTATGGTATAGAGTCTTGATGAGGGAATTCTTCTGGGATGGATGGTGGTGGGAATCCGGTTTACCTAAAACCGGATTCCCACCACCATCCATCCTTAAGGCTAATGGTTACTCCGACTACACAATCCGCAAGGCCATCACCCCAACCATCAAGAAGGATCCTGTTGAGGAGCCTTTCAAGACCATCACCTTACCCTACATTGCTGGGGTCACAAAAAAGATCTCGAAAATCCTGAATAAACACAAGATCCAGGTCCGATTCAACACAGTACATAAAATCCGTGATCTGGTCCCGTCTGTAAAAGATGTGGTTCCAGACATACAGTACCCTGGCGTCTACCATCTAAGTTTCCTCTGTGGTAGCAGTTACATTGGAGAAACCAAACGACATGTCTCGGACCGCATCCGTGAACATAAAGCAGACTTGAAACACGGTAGGACAAACACCTCAGCCGTGGCAGATCACTGTTATAATTCAGTGGGCTCACATGATATTGACTTCTCCAAGATAGAGGTTCTCTGCAAGCCATCTGGCTACCATGAGAGATTCGTTCATGAGGCGATCCACATATACAAACACCGAGACAATTTCAACCGAGAAGATGGATTCTGGCTTAGCAATCATTGGAAGGACGTAATAAACCATTTCGGATCTTAACTGATTGTGTTCACGTTTACGGTGACTTTCAGACCGCGTTCCACTCACTGGCATGGTGTAGTGTGCAGAGTAATGTATGGTGTCGTAATTGTATAGTAGATATATAGCAGTGTGATATACATTAGGGTGGGTAGAATAATACATAGTGTTATATTAAAATGGATAAGGCAGCAACTGCAGCAGCAGCAACTGCAGCAGCAGCAGCAGAAACTACAGCAGCAGCAGAAACTGCAGCAGCAGCAGCAACTGCAGCAGCAGCAGCAACTGCAGCAGCAGCAACTGCAGCAGCAGCAGCAGCAACTGCAGCAACTGCAGCAGCAGCAACTGCAGCAGCAGCAGCAGCAGCAACTGCAGCAGCAGCAGCAGCAACTGCAGCAGCAGCAGCAACTGCAGCAGAAACTGCAGCAGAAACTGCAGCAGCAGCAGCAGCAACTGCAGCAGCAACTGCAGCTCCCTTTGATACTGTTAATCCTGCATAATGCACATGCATATGTAGTACTAATCACATTCCTGCATTTTCCATAAATATGCTAAATTCCTCTTGATATGCAAATTCTTTTGTCAAGGCGCCCAGCTTATATATATGCTCCAAGCTCGTGTGCTGTTTCATTCAGACTGTCGCCTCGACGGACCTGGTTTTCACCTGAGGACGGCTGCTTGCGTTGTGGCCGAAACGTCGTGAGAATAATTTTATTATGTTTTATTTTTATTATTTTATTACTTCCCTTCTACGTGACTTTACCGAAAGAACCAAGAAGATGGTCTGTGTTGGGTGGTGGTGGTGGTGGTGTCATGAGCGGTTGTCTAGCAGTTAGCGCTGCACTGCGCTACGAACCCGGCGTCCCGAGTTCGATTCCCGCTCACAACCAACACCAGTGACGATTATCTAAACCCATCTTGGGCCTCCCATAGGTCGATTCAGCCTCAAATGAGTACCTGGTGCGATGTATAAACATTGCCACTGGGGAGACAAAGGCGGCCAGGCGTGGTGCTGGCCACCCACTCCCTTGTTTGCCATGCTGGCCTTCATAGGTGCTCGCTAACAGCACTTGCCCCAACAGTCCGTTAAGGCTATATGGCGGATCTTTGTCTTTGGTGTCGTGCAGGATGAGCTCGCCACCACAAAGCGGAGCTATGAGGACCAGCTGAGCATGATGAGTGATCACCTGTGCAGCGTCAACGAGACGCTCGCAACACAGAGGGACCAGATAGACGCCCTCAAGCTCGCCGGCAAGGTGTGCATGCTCATTTGCACACGTCTACGTGTACGCGTGTGTTTTCCTTTACATGTGTGTGTCTGCATGTGTATGTGTTTAGCCTGAATGCCCAGCCACCACATGCCAAGACAGATTTTGTTTAGCTGGACAGGGGTGGCACAGGCTAGCGATGAGATGGAGTGATGTAATGCAAGAGGATGTGGAACTGAGTGGACTTGGGGATGACGAGTACCAGCAGTATCAAAATCGCCCTCTGTGGAGGAGGCTCGTGAAGCATGCTCCTGGGCAGTTGGAAGCAGTCACCCTTCAGCAACAGCGGAGGGTAGAGGAACGACGCTCACAACAACGAGGGGAGCGCCGGGCGGCTAAAACACAGCAAGTTGGCACAATAGGGGGTACAGTTGGTGCATCGGCCATTCATCTCAGTCAGTCAACCCATGGCATCTGGGTATGTTCCATTACCTCATGCCAGCGAAAGACCAGCCCTTAAATACAAGTTAAGGGGGGAGGGGCTTATCTGAATGTGGTAACCAGGGAATGAAACGTGGGGGTGGTGGGCGGGGCTACAAGAGAAATTGGTCAACATCGTGTGCAAGAAAACGGAGCTACAAGAGAAATTGGTCAACGTCGTCATGGGCAAGAAAACAATCGGTGTACCTCGACCTAAACCGATGTTGGTTGAGAATCCAAATACAAAAAAGCAGTACTGTTAAACGCTGGGGATGTCAACACTCGGTAAAGTAGAAAAGTGCCTGTCAAATAAGATGGCACAAATATGTGTAGTTAAATCTTTTTTACATGGTTAATAACATCTTTCCAATGATTACTCAGTTTGAACCCATCATCACGGTTGAAGTTATGTCTATGTTTGTATATCTAGCCTGGCCTGGCACAAGCGCCATGGTGACTTCACAACCACTTAGTGGCAAATGGCAGTTGTTGTGTGTATGTAGCGCGGTGTGCTACGAACCTGACCACGTGAGTTTGATTCCCACTCACGGCCAACACTAGTGACGATTATCTGAACCGATCCTCAGCCTCCCCTATGTCAACTCTGCCTCAAATGAGTACCTAGTGAGGTGTGCAAACATCACCACTTGGGAGACAAAGGTGGCCGGGCGTGGTGCTGGCAACCCACCCCCTCATGTGCTGTGCCGGCCTTCATTGAATGTTCACGTTGGTAGCAGTAGCATAGCGGTAATAGAGTGGTTAGTGCTCTGCCCTACAAACCTGGCGAACCAGTTTTAATTCTAGGTCATGGCCAACATCAGTGACGAATATCTGAACTGTTGCTGGGCCTCCAGGAGGTCAACGTAGCCTTAAATTAGTACCTGATGCGGGGTGTAAATATCGGCACTCGGCAGATAAAGGTTACTGAGTGTCATGCTGGCCATACTATGCCTTCTTGTGTCATGCCAACCTTAATAGGAACTCACGGACAGCACTTGCCCCAACAGTCCGCAAGGCTATGATGGATATTTGTTTATTTGTTGTTTGTGCATTGACCTGAATGGTGGTGTCGTGGTTCATCGTCTACACTACTATCTTGGTCACCTGAATTAAATTTATAGCCATACACAATATCAATAGCAAGTCATATGTGAATTTGTCCTGAAATTCCCAAAGATCAACTCAGCCTTTCATCGATTCGTTATGTATTCATGAAACATCATCGCTTGGTCAGATGCATGCTGCTGGGCATGGTATTGATTACATCATCTCCGAGTGTGCCCTGTCAACATTCGTAGGTGCTTGCTAACACTTTTGCCTACATATTTACTTGATGGGTAAAGTGTGCGTGCCACACCAAGGCCCCTGCTTGTCAAATGAAATTTATTTCATCGTCATCACCTGGTAAGAAACTTATCTTTCAGCTTCTCCAGGAACCTCGGACAGCCTCCAGATCTGCTCAAATTAATTTCGGTCTCTGCAGCCACACGTCTTTTTTCGTACGGCTGCTGATGGAGACGCAGAGCAACAACTACAATTTCACATTCAGGTGGTCAAGCCAGATACGCACGTCAAGAGCAGTGGAGTGTTATCACTACGATGTCTCCGTATTTGTGGATCGGGCATTGCGTCGTTATATATTGTACTATCTGTTCTGGGTGACCACAGTTGTACACTGGAGAGTTTTTCATTATTTCATTTATGCATCAGGTAGCCACATCTGCCATGATTTGTGTGGATGCGATTTAGGGTGGAAGATTATCTTTGTGGAAGGTCAAATCTAGGATCTTCTGCGTTGGGTCTTTCACGAGTTGTTTGTTTGCGACTTCTTTTTAACTCCATTCAGCCCTCCAAGCTTGAATTTGCAATGTTTAAGGTTAAACTCATGGGTGAAAAAGGGCTTACGGCGTGACTTCAAGTGATGGACAAGGGATGTTATTGAACTCCTGATTAATGGAAAGGCGACTGTTTTCCTCAATTCGCAAGACTTCCCAGAGGGTTGCAGCAGAGGGTTCTAGTGATACACCGCATTGCAGTGTTCAGTTGGACATTAACAAGTCATGTGTGACTACTTCTGGTCCATACTGGTGCACAGTACTCGGCTACAGAGTACTCAAAGGCCATCCTTGATGTCCGTAGCACTGGTTACTAATGCTCCCCAGCCTGTGTATGCCAGTTTCTGGACCCGATTGAGCCTTGTTTTGGTCTTGGTGGCTACCTTTTTCAGGTGGTTATGGAAGGTTCGCGTACAGTCGGGCTTCACTCCGAGATAGGTTGGAGCGGTGTCGTGTCGCCACACTCCTCCTCTTGATTGTCTAATATGTATTATACTCTTTGGTTCTTTCGGTAAAGTCACTTAGGTATAAAATAAAATAAATCACGACGTTTCGATCGCAACACAAGCGGTCGTCCTCAGGCAGAAAAAATATAATCCAGCAGTGGAACTGCTGAACCAGCGAGAGAGCAGCTACAACAAGGTTATATGTGTGGCGATGGGCAAGCAAGCGGGGTCTGAACTGGAAAGGAATTCCATCCACGGATGTAAGCACGTCAGTTGTGTTAATGGGGGAGATTAGGGAGAGAGGGATTAGGGAGGGAGATTAGCATGAATGAGCTTCCGTCACCGCATACGAGTATCATACTGGCATATGCGCACAACAGCAGTGTTAATGAGAGCTTAGCACCATGAGAGTGCAATCCAAAGGACATGTGAGCATGAGAGTGCAATCCAAAGGACATGTGAGCATGAGAGTGCAATCCAAAGGACATGTGAGAGATCTAAGAGAGAGGCATCGAGAGAGAGTCGGAAATAACAGCTAACATAGGCAGGTAATATATTATATCCTTCAATTTATATTAGGCTAGGATTTAAATACGAGGTAAGCTATGTTTCAGACATACAGAAGATGTCTGGGCAAATATTATTGAATTCAATTTTGAATTTTAAAAATTTAGCGACAAGGCCTCCAATATTACCATGGACAATGTCAAGACCCTGTCTGTTTTTTTAAATCTGTTGACTTAAAGGTGAGTGCTGGAGAAGATGTGGCACCAATGGGACCAGGATTGGTTTCAACTACAGAACTAATCAACAATATACATATTCTTACTTTTTTATGTATTTTGTAATAGGGTGCTGTCCTAAACAGCTTTTCTGATACACGTAGACGCATGTCCACGAGTAATCTTTAAACTACGGGTAACAGGTGGACAGACCTTAAGAAACAAATAATATCATGGAAATGTAAATTATTGTAGACTGGCAGAAAGGAATGAACACGTATATGGGAGGTGCCATTGTTTGCGAAGGTGTGTATGGGTGTGTTGCGTGTGATGGATAACAGTGACATTGAGTTCAATGGCTTGAATGACAATGGGGGTAACACAGAACAGAGTTACAGGATAAGAGAACAGCGGCAGTCTGCTCCACTGGTTCTTAATTGTGGAATTTGATGGATTTTTTTATCAAACGTCAATGCATTGTTTTTTCGTTCACCCTGTCACCACATGGTAGCGCTACATTGCTATATTCGAGACATGTGTATTGTGTGAACTTCACTGTTTAAGTAATCCATGGTTGGTGATGATGATGATACAGTTTGTACCATGGAGGTGTAGCAATGAAATTAGTTTGTGCATTGGTGCTGCGTAGATTATTGCATCGCAAGACCATAAAAGATGGTGACAGCTTTTGGAGGCCTTCATCCAGAAGTGGATTTATTATGGCAGGTTATGATTATGATGATACAGTCGACTTACCACACGTGTCTTTTTCAGCCACTCTTATTCATATTTGATTTTCTTGGTTAGGCCACTTAACGATCTGGCCTGAAGATGCTTGGTGTTTCATCAAGTAAAATGTATCGAAAACGCAACATTTTGGTTGGAATAATTGTTCTTCAGCTTATCGGCGACCTGTAGTGATAATTCGAGCATTAAATGTGGGTACACACGGCAAGTTAATATGTTTGTCTGCAGGGTGGAGGAGAGTTTCGTTTGGCCACATCATTACGTGGGCAAACCCCTCAAAAAGTAATTTATGAATCGCAGTCTTTATAGCTAAGCTTTATATATCCATAGCTGTCAAAATAGTTATAATTGGTGATAAAATTCCCCAAAAGTTATACACTGTTAATCAACAATCCTGACTATGCTGTATCCTTTTTGAAGGCAAGCTCTAAGAAGAAGTCCCGGTGAAGAGTGATGGTGATCGTCTGCTACGGCCTCCACCGTCTACATCGCTGTGCTCACAAATGCAGCACCCCCCCGCTGAGGTCCAAGAGATAAACTCGGAGCCACGTGAACACCGTCTGCTGCATTTTAGAGGCTTGATATAAATGTGCTGACTCGTCTGATTGATGGCAATAATAAGAATAGACGTATTGTCGGGATTTTGTTTGGGCACTAAAAATGAAATGTTTAATCTGTCATATTGTTGGGCAGCCCTTGTCACAATTGGTGTTTCCCGGTTGTGATTTGTTTAAAAAAGGCTAATGCCACACTGGCTTCACAGTATTTTTGTCTCATCAGAAGTGTAAGGTTCCCTTTAACCAAAGAGGCCCTACCCCCGTGCGAAAGAAGTTCAACATACATACAAAGGCACTGGGTAAACCGATGTTATTTCAAGGAGCAATCTGTGAACACCATGGACTCAATGTAATTTTATTTGGGGGATTAACAAATCCTGAATGTTACTGGGACCAGGATGCTGAATTACAAATGCACATTTTGCCATTTGAATTAAGTTAGATATTTGATTTGTCACTGTGGGTATCAAATAATTAAGTTGTAAATGTAATTTGTATCGATGTTTGAGGCAGCAGTAATTTCTTTAAGAATAACTGGGAAATATTCTGGCCCTTATATATAAGCACATAGAGGATGTCATGAATCTTTGGGCATGATAGTGCAAGCAATTTGGACATTGGAAATCATTGTAGACAGAATCGGACAAAGGAGGATGGGATGACTGGGTTGTTTAGGGAGGGCAGGTTACGCACATGGGCGTGAGTATGGCACTAAGAGTCCGCACGCTTATGAGAAGCTCTGAAGCCAGATGGTGGATACCAATACCAGTGGAACAGACATTAAAGATTGTGTGTTCACTGTGCAGCAGTTTCAGAATCTGGCGGAAGTGATGGCTGTGTGGTGGCATTGATGATCACTGGAGTCTGATCTTTTAATAATCTCTTATCCAAGGAACCCTCACACTCTAAATAGTATCTTGCAAATGGATGTTTGGACAATTTCTGTTTTAATGAATATTGATTCAGTAAATGTGTTTGACTTTAAATAACACGAATATACCCAAGTATGCAGTTTAATTGCCTGTCACCATGAAATGTACATATTTGTCTAAATAATGTTTAGCCAGGAAAGTGTCACTGAATCACCGAGGTGTTAATGATCAGGATGCACTGCTTGGGACTTTGAGCCAATTTTTTAATGAATAACAATTAGTACATTTGATGTTTCCGCCATTATTATTGCAAATTGCTATCCTGGAGGTGCCGTGTTTCACAGACATGATCAGCAGTAGCTTCACGGGAGGGGTCATTGCTTTGTGTAATACCAAATTGAGTAATTTTGCAGCCATATTAAAAGTTGCACCGTGATGATGACACAGTACCCAAACTCTTTTCCCAATTACGTTATCGGTTCTTCGACATCCACTGCGAAGCAGACGGCGCATTATCTACAGTTAATACACACCTGCAGTAATAACCAGGGCGGCCGACTAAGTTTGAACAGTGAACCCCCTGCAACAAGCGGTGAATGTGCTCCTACTACGACTCCTGGGCTATTGCAACCGCTATTATTCTCATCTGGTAGCCATGGCCCAGCTGTGGGAAATAAGATAGCTGATGTCACATTCCCACAGTGGGACTCCTTTTTACATATCCTGTGAGGATTATTACGTGCCGACTTTAGCCCCCAGCCAGGATTTGAGATGGCAACCTTCCAAGTATGAGTTGAGCTCCCTGTCGCAGTGCTGTCCCAACCTGATGGGGGATGGCACTAGAATACGTAAAATAGTTGAGCATTCTAGTTGCTGTGCTGTCTTCTGCTGACCTCATATCCTTGGTAGGAGGAAACCCATCAGGAAGTGAATGGTTAATTTCAGCTGCACAGTCCTGTTATATACCTGAACGTATTTACAGTCTACGACCACAGACGTGGAGTGTTACAATCAGCTTTAGTGCAGGAGCCAGATTGATTGTTGCATGACAGGACCGTGAGGGATGGTGACAGCTTTGGGGATACTTTCATCCAACAGTAGATAGACCATGGCTGATAGCCTGGGCCGTACAGTGAACACTTAGTGTGGATGGATGCTGGGAGCCATGGCTGCGTGATTATGGGCTTATCGAGATGCACGTATATCCAGCAGTGTGGTAGCGGTGTGCTGGATTACATCGAGGTGATTCCTGTCATAAGCCAGTACAGCAAGTAGGTCGCTGATATCTACAGAGTTTATCATTTGTTTACTCCCACATGCTGTTTTATTTGCAAACTCCGGTTTATGACCAATATATATTAGGATACAAATTGTCAGGTTAGAGTTTGTTTGTAAAAAGCAATGTCTCATTTCACATCATGAGATCAACTCCGGTAATTTAGTATTATATGTTTTATGTTATATGCTGTGAACTAAAAAAATTGGAAAATCCTAAATATCCAGAGAAGCCTGAAAAAAAACCGGATTTCATACTGAGAGATTTGGAGAAAATGCCTGGCTCCGAGTGTGTTTTACTTGTCTTCAAAGTGAAAAGATAATTAGTGAGGAAAGTGATTTCCTAGTGATAATGATACACATTTATATAGCGCCATGAAAGTGTTAGAGGCACTCAGCCGGACATTAGTTATTAGTTATTTTCCAAACGCAAGTTAACTTGTTGGTTTAGAGTTTGTGTTTCATGCTCGCAAGGGCAGACGTTAATTGCTCGGCAGGTTGCAGAAGCTCCCAACTGAGTGAGTTCCAGCTGAGCAGCGCTGCAACGCTGTTGAGCACGATCTGTGATACGCAGGTTTTTTTTTATCGTTTTAGCACTTGGAAGGGTGGGCGACAGGGACTTGGAATGCAATCGGAAGCAGTGTGGAGATAGCCAGGCATCCCCAGTCGAGGAGACCAAACCACTCGGCTCAAGAAGAAGCAACACACAAGGTGTGAGTGATTTGCAGGAGGCCATTGATCTAATTGTTGATGGACCAAGTGCATTGTGTTTCAAGGGGACCATGTTGAAAAAAATAACACGACTTCATCCAAGGCATTCACGTTTATATTTTTATGGACTTTTTGATGCTCCCTCCTCATACTGTCAACAATTGCGACTGAGATATCTTAACGTGGAAGGGCTGACTTTTCAATTGGTTAAGTGTGAATAACGGAGGAACTCCCTTTTGTTATATTTTATATTGGGGCGACTTTGCAGGCGCTGTGTGCAGCTCTTTACGGTGCTGCTATTTCGTGACGGTTATTTTTTAAGAGATCCCACTCTCTAGTATTCACCACGTCGCATTGCGGCTCTTTAAATATCGAGGTTCTTTACCTAATTAAAAAAAAAAATTGCCATTGTTATTTTAGGTTGCCGACCCCGGTCTGAAATGTTGAGTTTTGCACAATTATTCACAAGCAGTGTGTGATTATATTATTTGAAGCGTTTTAGTCTACAATTAATTGACCAAACATCTAAGCAGGGTCTTCTTGTCACACAGTGAGGTTTAAAGAGAAAATGTATTGAGGGTCTCTGCCATCACCTCCCTTGAAAAGCGAATTGCGAATCTTGAGGCTCAACCCTAGTTAAATGTCATTGGCAAAGCAATAGACATTTTCAGATGACATTGTGAGACTTCAAATTACTATTGTGTTTACAGAATGTTGCACTGAAGCCACTAATCTTAAATGGTTTTCCCCAGGGCCTCAGAGCTGTGTTTACCTTTTTAAATTTAACTCCGAGGCTTTCGCGACCAATATTATTCATTATAAAGTTTGTTTTCAGTTAGCGTAAATATAAATGTGTCGTTAGCCCACCACCACCCGACACAACCATTTAGTAAGGTTTGTAATGGTAACAAAATGTGCCAAATAGTTAGTAGTTCAGCACACCGGTGGGTTGGAGAGTAAACCCACAACATTTACAATTGGAGTACGACGTTTCAATGTTAATTACAACCAGCCTCATCAGGCGATTTGCCAGAAACGTCACAGTACTCAAATTGTTAATGTTGTGTTTCAGTTTAATTTATTGGTATAGCCCTGTGAGCCATTCGGCTCTTGAATCGAGTGCAACCGCAACAAACAAAAACATGAACAAGAAACATCTTAAAGTGACAAACAGAAAAATCCAGGAAAAAACAGCAAAGACTTCTGGAAAAAGCACCGTATATCAATGCTGTGTGCAAAAATCCCAGTGGGATGCAAGTCAAACAATAACAACCATAAGACAATTTAGATTAAAGTTATCAGTCTAACTCTGTACTACAACAAACAAATATGGCTAAACCAAAACGTTTTCGAAATCAAAATAAAGCAATGTAACAGTGATCATAGGTACTGTTATTGAAATTTTACAATAAACGATATACATAACATGTACTACCAAATTCTGCAGCCACAGCTGGCTGCATGAGTCACTCCATAACAGCAGGAGTATCAGTAGGAGTATCAAAACATTTCAATGCAACAGAACCGGTGTGCTGAACTAGTAAATAATTGGCACGTTTTGTTCACGTGATAATGTTTACTTATTGGCTGTGCCGGGTGGTGGTGGGTTTCGCGATAAATTTATGTTTACGTGATACAACTCAAAACAACCCTTTATTATGAACACCTTTTCTTTAGTGTGAGTGCTCTGCCCTGAATTTCGTGACAGTGTTCACAACGACACTGAAAATAGTGGCTGAGAATCTTGACACGCAGTGGTTAAGATCAATTCCAAGATCTCAGTGCCTGCTGCTCAAAGGAGCGGTCGTGCACTTTGGCAGCCACGCCAGGAGGCGGCTTCTCTCGACGACGCGGACCACTATTAACTTCCCACAACCTTTCATGAGCCCAGAGCTTGATGTTTTTCCTCTATAAACCAGACTCAATGATCAGGCTCCACTACTAATTCTTGAGCTTTTTTTGCTTATTTCCATTCTGAAACCAATAGCTGCTTTGTCAAAGATCGAGGTAAAGTAGAGGATAAAGCAGAGGCAAGATCGGAGTGTGCTCATTTATTGCTTTTACTTCCCAGTTGGATATTGTTTTTCTGTGGAATGAAAAGGGGCACGGCATGTTTGACATCAATTTCACTGCTTCCTATAAAATATGGATAATTTTCATGAACACTGTGATTCATACTCTTTAGTTTTTTCGGTAAAGTCACGTAGGTATAAAATAAAATAAATCACGACGTTTCGTGCGCAACACAAGCGTCCATCATCAGGTGAAAAAGCATGGTCTGCTGCTGAGGCAGACTGTTTTAAAAGGTTTGAAAATGGGCGTAGCTCAAGGGTTAGAAAGAAGTGGTCGGGGCTAGTGATGTTAATGTGAGAATTTAGCATGTTACTGTAAGATAGGAGAGCGGCCTCCTCGACGAGGGAGTGCAACCCAACGGGTGTAATCCGAAGGGCCTGTGAGTATCAGAGTGCAATGCAACGGACATGTGAGCATGAGAGATCTAAGAGAGAGGCATAGAGAGAGAGAGACACAGAGAGTCTAAATAACTGCTGACAATATGCAGGTTGGATGGAAACATCACAGTCAGTTAAGACTTTACCTGGTTAATAACGTCCTTCCAATGATTGCTCAGTTTGTACCCATCCTCTCGGTTGAAGTTGTGTCTGTGTATATATATATCTGGATGGCTTCATGAACAAATCTCTGAAGGTAGCCGGTAGGTTTTCAGAGTACCTCCGTCTTGGAAAAATCAATTTCGTGTGAGCCCACAGCGTTAAAACAATTATCGGCAACGGCAGAGGTATTGGTCTTACCGTGTTTCAGATCTGCCTTGTGTTCACGGACGCGGTCCGACACATGTCGTTTCGTTTCCCCAATGTAACTGCAGCTCACGAGTTGCTTCAATGTCTTCATCGCTTTGTTTTGCACCTTCCTCTTAAGTTAGACACACATATTGAGATTCAACTTTACCAATTTCAGCTTCAAAAGGGAAAGGACTGATTAATCATTTGTGCCCAATTGCTCTTTGGTTTGATCTATTTCTAATCCCCATCACAATTGCACACCAACTCTGATAATTACCAGAGGCTAATCGCCGTCATTACAGTGCTTTATACGTTGTACACAGCGCAGTCTTCTTGGTCTACCTTGCAATTGTGCCAACGAACTCATTCACTGCTACAATTGAAGTGGAACGCCACGGCCGCGGTGCTCCCCGGAGGAAACTCCCTCAACTGCTTCACCATGCACACCACACACAGCTGGGTCTGGCCCTGATAAATGCCTCTCAACATCAGACCTTCAGGAGAGCATGATGACAATACATGAAGACACAATGAGGTTATACCATTTGCCATGAAACACTGCTTAGGTCGCCATAGTGGGGTGGGGGACACGACCATTACCAGATGTCCAGGCTGCATGGTGGGGTTAATGGACAAACACTCCCTCTCCCTGCCACGGCAGCCTGTGCAGGTGATCCTGTAGCTGCTCTCACTTCAAGCAGTCCGCTCATATCTGCGAGACTTGGTTGAGATTGGAGTGCATTAGATAGACAGTTCTTGCAGCACCCCAGAGTAGTTCAGTGCAGGGTGAAAGTGGAGAATCTCTCAATGGCAGTGACTTTTGCACACCCTGAAAATAAGTGGCTTTGTGTCAATAAAATCGCTAAACGTATTTGGAGGAGTGGCTTCCATTTGGCTGGAAAAGGTTACGCACCAGTTCTTCCAGTCGCGGGTTGCTAATGCAATCTAGGAGAGAACTGAAGTCTTAAGTTCCACCGATCTGTGCCGTGGAAAAACAACGGTGGGAGTGTGTATGTGCTGAGTAATTGTAGGAGTGAATGTGTGTTACACATGTCGATGGGGGAACGAATTTTGTTTGCAAGCCACGTGAAAAAGCCATGGCTGCTGCCATCTACCATTTCAACCACATCGTCAGAATGGCAGGGAAATACTCGAAGCCTTGTGCCACAACTGCTAAATGTTACTTAGAAATAATAGCGATGGGTGGACTCAAATAGGTACGGTTTATTTATCTGAGGGGCAGAGGTCCGTTAGCTTTGCCAAGGGCACTGCCATCTTATACATACGGCCGCAGTGGTACGGTAGCCTACCGAGCCATGCTAGTGGCGAATCACCCAACAGAAATCCATGGAGAAATATCTGGGGGGGGGACGTCCTGTGGTGACGGGCGAGCAACAAAGTAGCAAATATGTGGATAAACTGTGATCTGCAGCCCTGCACACAGACTGCTCAGGCCATCGGGTCGTCTTTTGCCAGACATAAGTAGCGATGGGACTCGGCAGCCCCCCCCCCCCAAGCGACTGAGTAGCCTATTCAGGATCATACTGCGCAACCTCCCGAGCACGAGGAAGGGGCTGGAAAATATTCCCTCGCATTGTCTGCTTCATCCACCCTTGGCCAGAAAACTGTGGCTGAGTTTCCCCTTCTGTGGTTGCTCCCTTCAAGAAAAAAACGACGGTGACACCACTCACTGTTGGTCCGTTGAATGTCGTGAACACTTTTGGACAATACCAGAGCAGGCATACAAGAGACCTCTTTCTTGTATGCCTGCTCTGGTATTGTCCTTGGTTGCGAGAGGTCTTGCCCAGGTACAACATCCAAATGTAACGAAGGACTGCAAATTCGGCACTTCCTGGATCACCTTTATTGTCCTCAACGTCCAGTGCCCACCACAAGCAAACACATTGTACTGGTCGCCTTTTGGCGTTTCTCAGTTCTAACACTGGTGGTGAGACAAGGCCATAAAGAAGGCTGTCTCTCGTGTAGGCCAGTTTCAAAGACAATGGGTACAATATCAGAGCATGTTTGTTAGCATGTTTTGCCACGTGTGGCTAATGCAGACCTTATGCCTTGCAAAAGGTATCTATTTGGTGTTTGAACATCTTAACACCTGTTTTATTGCCAGAAAGGGTAAAACCTATTCTTATTTTTTATCCTTACATCACCCTCCCCTTACATAAATAATGGAGCCGTCCTTGGCTAAACTTTAACAAGATAGGTTACAACAAGCAACAAAACCTATAACCCGGCATACAACACTGATGCAATTCTGACATTTCACTGATAACTTCTTCCCCAGCGAACACGACCCTAGCCCATGGAATGGCCCAACACAACACGACAGGAGATAACCAATTGAAACAAATGAATGAATCCCTTTGTGTACACTTTCTTCCTCGGCAAGCACGAGTCATTTGGGCCCTTGTAATGATCTCGATGTAGAGATTGTTGTGCATGACCGGCTCATTGCTGATCCTAAAGGAGGTGACATGTCATTCGCAGTTGACGAGCAAGCAGGCGGCGCTTTGGCAGACATTCCCTGACCCAGGCAGAACCTACGTGTCAGTGGGCGCGTTGACTGCTGTGTTGTGTTTGGATCAGTGGCACAAACTTTCAACCTGAAGGGGTGAACCGAATCACCTCCGACGTCCAAGTTGTATTTGTGCGCATGTTGTGTATGTACCCCCTTTTTATTTTTTTTAATATTATTTTTTTAAGAATTATTCTGCCAACATAGATAATATCGTTCTTTTTAAGAGACGCGGCCACGTGGGAACGAACACGCCCCCACACTTCCACAGAGGCCCCCACACTTCCACAGATGCACGCATACCTCATTTCAAAGGAAAGAGGACATGAAAGGGGGGCAATAAGGTAATAAACTCCCCTAAATTCACACAAGAGGAACAAGGGAGGGGGGAATTGCAGGCGGGGGGGGGGGGGGGTCAGCAGGACGCCCTTTTGAAAAAAAAAACCCCACAGAACCAGGAGACACGGAGGAAGAGATAATTATATTCTTAACAAAGAAACAGCATCGACGACAAAAAGCACAGATGGGTCTTTGAACCATGTTAAATACACAAGTTACCAACTTAACCATAAAGATTAAGCAAACAGTATCCATCCTCACTCCAATTGAAAACCAGACAAAAATTGCACCAGAATCGCGACCCATCATTGTTAATTAAGTACTGACATTATTTACCTTTAAAGAATATCTACACGGCCGGGCCGAAGCATCAAAGAATAATTAGGGCATCTATTTCACTCCAAAACAAATTCCTAGCCGGGATATCAGATCAAATAATCACAAGAAGTCGAATAATAAGTACGGAATTAAAATAGAAGAGGAATCAAGGGCGGAGAAGGCTCTCAAAATTAACCAAACACAACACCCATGGGAAGCGAGCAACACGACCGCCTTTGTCTTTCCGAGAGGATCTCCACACACAGGCACCAAGCCAGGAAATGACACCCATAAAGGTTGGGTCACGATGAAACATCGTGAACACGGTTTCGGCATAACCAAGCAGCAAATAAGTCGCATTTCAACTTCCAAACCAAACCAACTTAAGCTGTGTGAGACAAAGGATGTGATCCCAGAGCAAGGGAGTGAATAGTTAAGCTCGCTTAACGCGTAGGTTTTCGCGACAAATATTATTCAGTAACAAAACATGGATTCGAATGTTTTTTTTTAACTCAACGCGAATCATCGGTCTGGCTAATGGATAACTTTTGAAGCAGCCGACACGAGGCCCCCACCCCCACCCCCTTTCTTCCAGAACGACACACACAGCTGTGTCTTCAAAGCTAATAAACACACGGACAAACACGCACGCGAAACACACGGACGGACACACACACGGACGCAGGTGGTCCACCCCCACAGGAAGGTTTTATGACACAGCTTTTGAACAACTCGGGAAGCCGAGTGGAATTTTCCGATATAAACCGAAGGAAAATCCATACAACTCAGATCGACAGGGGCTCTGGCCCCCATCACAGATCTCCAGGGCTGTGGCTCCATCTCTCCTTGTCGCCGCCAACGAAGAAGCTCCTGTCATTCAGAATGACGAGGTTTGCGGAGTAGCGACGCGTAGCTACAAGCCAAGGTCTGCACCACCTGAGAAGAATCGCTACCCTGAGTCGCAGAGTTGCGAGTGAAGCCAACAAAGACGCCAACGTCCACCCTGCCACGAACGAAGCATCGCTCCTCGTCAGAGTGACGACCAGCGAACAACCCGCAGGAAAGGCGGAGATCGCTGAACGAGCGCCAACGAGCAACAACCTTGCGCCACCGTGCGCCACCTTGCGCCACCTTGCGCCGCCGTGCGCCACCGCGCGCCATCGAGCGACAACGAGCGACACCTTGCGCCACCGAGCGACACCGAGCGACACGAGCGACCGAGCATCTTCAAGGACAGCATCGTGCCAACTCGTCATCTAGCAGTAGAAAGAGAGAGCGCACGAGCAGCACCAAGCCCCCGGAACCATCAAGCGCCAAGCAAGCAAGTTTCTTCAAGGAACATCGTGCCAACGCCGCTCAATCCAGCAGTGGAGAGAGAGAGAGAGAGCAAAAGCCGAGCGACACGCCGAGCGAGGGAGCAGCAGGAGCTGTTCGTATCCTCCCACACCACACAAGCTAACGACACAATTAATATTACGAGGGGACAACGCACACACAGCACGCACACGAATAAGACTTTAAAAGAAAAACTGTCTTTTCGTTTCAAAAAGGGTTGCCATTTCGAGGTGGTGCGTTCAATATCAACTGATCGTGCAAAGCAGTTGCTGCCGTCGAGTTACATAAATGCATAAGAGTTTTCGTTATTCATATTGCATAATTGCATAATTTCGCAACTGCATAAGTTTTTGTCGTTCATATTAGTTAATTGCATAATCTTGCCCATGAATTATTGACGCATGTTTGACCTGCATGATAGAATGTCACGTGCTTGTTAGAATAAAATTGTTATCACAGAAGCAAATCGAGTGTTCCTTCCAAGTCCATGCAAAACTGTCTTATTCTTGACAACTGTATCCTGTGATGAGATATGAAAATGGAGACCTAAAATATTATAACACACACTAGGATAATCGGTAAATGAATCTATGATAATCGTGTTATCCTGATTGATAACTCTGGATAAACGAAACTAAGCAAATTATCATAACTGCACACATTAACATAATCGCAAGCCTCCGCATAAATTACTACGATTATCATAATTTATGCATATAATCACACGCATTATCATAATTTATGCATATTAATACACACACTATCATAATTAATGCGATTTGCGCATTTTTCGGAAAATTATTAATTTTTATTATTTTCATCAAAATTTCATAATCACAACACATACAACACGCATTAGGGGCGGAGTATTTTAACAACCCTGACAGGCGGCCCTTGCCGCCTGTCAGGGTTGTTACAATTTTTGTTTTGCCCGAGCCCAAGTGCCAATCAGCAGAACCTCTGATTGTTCTGGTTTAAGCAGCATTTCGTTTTGTGCAAACGACACATGATGCACAGACAACAACACAAATGAGCAGTGAGCAGCGTGGCCAAGAGTGCACTTCATCTGTGGATCGAGCCTGATACATAGATAATACTGCAAACGAGCAGTGAGCAGCGTGACCACAAGCACACTCCAGCTGTAGACCAAGCCTGTCGTTTTCTACACATTGTGCTGGGACTGGAGATTTTTTTTCTGTAAGAAAGAAGACGGAACTTTACACTCATTCGCCATTTAACTGCACCTTGTACAGGTTATGGACTATTAAGAACATGAGGTGTATTGTTGTGTTACCATCTGTTCTATATATGCCTTTTTCAAAATTTATATTAAGAATGATTCAGCTTAT